GTGTTGTTCATAACTCAAGCGTAACATTCAATAGGTAAAAGTCAGAAACATGATAAACATTGTATTGGTGGGATGTTTTAGTTTAACCCTGTAAAATATGCTAAAACAGTGTTTACAGAAGACTGAAACTTTAAAAAAAATTTGATGGGTGTGCCGCCCCCCCTCCCGAGTGGGGGGGTGATCGCGCTACGCCTCTGGGCACATCTGTGGCCATTTCTCGGGGAACAAGGTTTAAGGATGGTTTATGATTGAAGGGACCCTAGTGAAAATATTTGTCGTTTGCTACCTCGGAAAACGACGGGCTAACTTCAGGAAAGCCAAAAATCCAACATGGCAGCAAAAATGGTCTGAAATAGAGATTGACAAACATTGTTGATGAAATAATGTTGGTCGCCAGACTCATTTGCGATAGTTTCCAATTCATCCCACAAACGGGTGATCCAATATGGCGACATAATCCAAAATATACACGGCTGACATGTTTAGGGGTACGCGGAACACGTGTGGTACGTCGTTTCAAGGGTTTTGGGGGGACGATAAACGCCAATTTCATTTCTAAGCTGATAGGACTAATGGGACAGTAGATGGCATAAAAAATTATGCATTTTGGCCATGGGCGTGCGAACCACATGGGGGCCACTTTTCGAGCAGACGGGTGAAGTGAAAAAAAATAATTAATATTTTATCCGAAATCTAATAAAACACTCATTTTACTTCTCTTTGAATTAAATACCTCGAATTTGTACTGAATTGACTATGGATTAAATCATTTAATTTTGTCTGGGGCCACTCTGCTTTGTGCGACATTTTTCGGGCATCGATTATTTGTGAATGCAGCTACAACAGTCTGATTCCTTTTAAAGGATCGGTAGGCCTATTCAGGTCGGCATAGAATCGGATTTTGGATGCAAAACCAATAGACAACTTTAAAAAACACAAGACTATTTCTATGGAAAACAATCACTGGTTTACATTAAAATTTGTCCACATATAAACTCACGGGCTAGAATAGCAGAAAAACACATTTGTAACTGTTAAATTTTAAAAATTGTCTCGGGGAGGACGTAACAACTACTTTGTAGTTTGGAATTCAAATCAGCCAGGCTTTGTTGGACCACGTTTAGAAGTTGCTCTATTCCCCGGCTCGAATAGCAGGAAAACGCGTGTGCGGTCATTAAACTTTCAAATATACTTAGAACGGTCGCATTTCCGTGGACTGTAAACGATTGAATGGTTAATGGAAATCGGGTAGGCTATATTAAACCACTTTGAAGTTGCTGTATTCACGGGCTGAAATAACAAGAAAATTTGTTTATGCGGCCGTCAAATTTTCTTGGGGGGGGGGGGGCACCAATACGATAAACTCCGGGCCTTCCGCCCTCACTGATGACTAGCGCGGCCGTCTGTAGACCGGAATTTTATAGGGCACTTCAGGTCTGCCCCCTCCCCCCATATTTATCGGGACCGTACGCCTATGATTTTCGCGACTACATACAAACCTATACACATGTAGTAATAACAACCATAAATTGTTCCAGACATCCATGAATCCTATCATCCATATATTATTACAGCTATCATAATGCATTAAAATGCACTATACATGTATATAGTATTCCGCAGTATGATTCGGGAATCTCAGAAAACAAGTCAAGAGTCTTGAGTGTTTTAAGTCATCTGTCGGACTACGGCACCAAGATTAAGAAGTATTGTTATTTTTGGGGTTATCGACGGAGAAGCTGTTTAAACACTGATCATAGGGCATCGGGTGTGTATATATAGACCAGTGGTTCCCAACGTACTTTTTGTTGGTTGCGACCCCATTCCAGAGACCATCATCTGATCACGACCGCTCGAAGAACAAAGTCACCTTTTACTGTGAAAATTCATCATTATTTACAGATCAAAATGCTATGGAAACAAATCATGAGCGTGAGAGGTGCATAGATCAGAGGTTATTGCCCTCGTCAGACCAAGGTGGCGTTCTTACTGCGCTGCTGCGACCGTACGGCGACCAGAAAATGCACAAGGTCGCCGGCAAACATTAATACACCGCGAGAAAATGTCCAAAAAATTTACAAACTTGAAAAAAGTCGCGGTCTCACAGCTTTCCAGGTCAGATCGCAGAATCTTGGCGTTTGTTTTTAACATGCCCAAGACAAACGCCGTGACTCGGTGATCATTTGCGACCATGGAGACCACAGCAGGATATCTGGCGTTTCCACTATGCTTTTACAAGGCTTATAACGATCTTGGCGCGTTCTGACTATCTGAGTCCATTTTCCGTCGCCTTAGCAACGCAGTAAGAATGCCGCCCCTGTCTTATGGGGGTATTACGAAGGTTAGTTCAAAAGTTCTAAGACATGTGTGAAAAACCTGTACAAAGTCGGTGGTTTCCATTTTTTTTCTACAGTCCCCTTCAACGTACACACTTTTGCCAACGACGTTGCCGGTCAGGAAGAAATTTTCTTCAGCCACTCTAAGAAAGTCTTTCACAGCAGATATCTCGTCATAATTAGGAAAATGACGACCGGCTAATTCTTTTTATCATTTTTGGAAACAGGCCTCATCCATGGTTACAAATCTGGCCAAAAATATTACCAGGATCTGCTTCAAAATGGCACAGATTGTCAAGGGACGTCAGGAATCTGACCCATCTTGCAGAAACATTTGTAATTCCTAACGCGTTGGCGATAATGTGCTCAACCTACTCGTGAGAAATGCCCACAACACCTGGCAATATGTCGTGGCAATTATCGTCGATCAGCCATCACGTACCATGTCATGCATCCAGGTAATATTATGTTGAATGGTTGCGGTTGATGGCCTTGCAGGGGACGCGGGTCATCGTCAAATGCAACTCGAAAGTAGACATTAGAAAGTTAACACACCGCGCAATAGCGACCTATCATTTTGGGTTGCTGTCTTTTGGAGCAAGGTTGGTTCAGTGTATAATAATTAGGAGCTGTTTCACTAACCAGGAGGTCTGGGGTTGATATATGTAGGCAGAGGCGTAGCCGTGAAATATATATAGGGGGGGGGGGGGCAACCCTAACCCCTAACCCTAACCCTATTTTAAAACCCCTAAAAAATATAAACAAACACCATGTGGCCATGCTGTCTGCACAACTCGTTTGCTGATTGGCTCACCGCGTGCAAAGTATTATGGTTACATGGCTGGCTGAGCGGGCGATAAATATTTGGTTTAGGCGATAATGTTTTTGGGTACCTACATGCGATTCACTCTGATAAGCGACAGAAAAAAATTAACTAGACACAATTTTACTTTTCACTTCACACATGTTTCAAGGATGATTCTCTCTAATAGAATCTTAACTAACCCTAATAATTGTTGTAAATAAATAGGAGTTAGGGTCTACTATGTAAATTTTCTTTGGGGCGGGGGCCCACCCCCCGGACCCCCCTACCCATGTGTGACTCCCATGCATGAGAATATCCTCATGATTTTCCAGTAGTTTCTTTTTGTCAGTGGTGTAGGGGAAAAATTTCACTTATAACACACTTATGTTATCTTCTTTATCCTGGTGTTGGTGCAAAATCGCTGAGAGTAATCAAAGTGAAGATAGATGAAGATCAATATATAGGCCTATATATATAGTATAGCCTATTTCTGAATTTCTGTGTGATCGGGAAATGTTAGTTGACGGACTGGGATATGGCAACATTAAATTCGGGGGGGGGGGGGGTATGCAGAAATGAAATGAAATGGGGTTTAACGTATAACTGTTCTGCTCCTAAACTGGGCTAATGAAGACGGCATACGCCATACAGTGTGCTATGAGGGAAATTTTGCCCGGGCAGCGGCGCTACGGCCTACTCTTATATCGAATTCCAACTGCCAAGGGACCTTTTACGTGCACGCCAATATGTACACGGGACTTCGGTTTTTCGTCCCATCACTGACAAGGGGAAACCACGCCGGAGAGGTACGCTAAAAGTGACTCTGGCAGTAGTAGTATAGGTGCGTCCACAGGCACTTTCTATGGCGGGATTTAAGGGCCAAAACTAAATGTAAGTTGAAAGTGTTATTATACATCATAGAAAATACCTAATACCTAAGATGCAAAATACATATGTCGTTATACTTATAATGATGAATACATAATACCGTTAAAGTAAAAGTCAAATGTCAAATTACAAATGTTTTTGGGAAAAAATCCACTAATGTTGCAAAGAACAGAAAATTTTCACATATACACTTCAACAAAGCAACTTTGCAAAATGACATTTGTCTTTTGTCTTTTAACGCATCTTGAGTTCTTGGGGTCAAAGGACAACGGTCAAAGGTCATCGGGGAATATGTAAAATTGTTAAAATGAATGCTCCCAAGAAGGAAAGATAAGCTTGTGGTCGTCTGCTTATTTAACAAGCTTGTCGTTGTCTGCTTAGTGACCTTCTGGACACTATAAATATGTTGTATGGATTTTGACTTTACCGCTTTACTTGTTATTATCAATTAATGGAATCTTGCGTCAATTTAAATGTACGGAAACTGTATATTTGGAAAGATTAAATATATTAAATGATTATTATGTACGATAACCTTTTGAAATAAAATATAAATTTTACTTTGCAGTTTACGAAAGTTATCCGAAATATGAAACACCAATACCATAACCCCCCCCCCCCCCAGGAAACTGTAATTTACTGACTTTCAAGGGTGTGATAAATCGCAGACAACGTAACTTTAGCCACTCTTTGCAAATTCACAATGTGGACGAACTGGAAGAGGAAGTTCGGAAAAGGAGGACGTACTAACTCACTATAAATCTATAATTTTGAAAAGTTATAAAATGTTTAGCTGGAGCGCTAGATATCTAATTGTTGAAGAATTAACACATAATTGAACATCGAATGATATTTACAATATGTATGTATACCACGAAAGGTTTATTCAAGGAATAATTATTACAAAATATGAGTAGAAACCAAATTGGTCGTGTCTACAGACCAATGCGCATGATCATCGCATGTCGGCGCATTCTGGGTAATGTGGCTTCTGCCACGTTGGTTCGTATGTGGTGTATTTCTGAAAATCATATTTGTTTATAATATCGTTTTTGGCCTATTGTTACGTATGGACGGGGTTTGTTTAGAGTTTTTGTGAATTATATATATATCGCTGATTTATCAGACCGATTGAACACATTATAATTAGGAGATTAGGGTAAGTATAATGGTTTAGGAATCGCAAAGTTACCGGTAAATTTAGCTTGCAAGCTAAACATCTGACTTTAGTTTATCAGTTAACAGAACAGCCAAAGGCATCTGTCAAAAGTGATCTTTGCCTACGTGTAATCTCAGATATTTTAGTGAGCATGTGTCTGACCTGAAGTCGACGGACTTCCAATTGATAGATTATGTAATACATTCTTACTCTTAGAATAATGTACCGGTAGAGTAATTGAACGATTTTGTCTAAAAAAATATAGATATGAATGTTCAAGATTTGATACAATTTGTCCACCACCAATTATATATAGATCTATAATGATATTAGAAGTTTCTATAACTTGTATTTTTGATATTTTTTTTTTTATTAACCTCCTACATATGTATACTCTCCACCCCATACATTTAAGTGAGTTAACATAACTAATTGGGGTAAAGAGCTGACGACCTAATTTATAAAACAAACATATCCAAGAGAGAGAGAGAGAAAAATGGGGTTTAGCCTTTCGACACAAACTAGGTCATTTCGGGACTAACATATGGTTTAATTTTATTCCAATAATTCGCTTTCGCGTAGGGGTCTTTAGCAGTGGGAGGAAACCGGAGGACCCAGAGAAAATCCACAAGGTTGTCATGTACAACCGGGGATTCGAAACCACGCCAGTTGACTCAATGACAGGCCTTATGAAAATATAAATATTATATTTTGCGCAGAATACACCAAGAGTTAGTGTTACGGCAAGAAACATTTGGTGGACAGTCATTACGTTACTGTATAATTAGTCTTAATAGTGAGAAATATGAGGTGGGGGGGGGGGGGGAGACAATATAGTGATTAATGTAGGACGACAAATGTTTTCTTATTTTTGAGAAGATAAAAGGCATTATTTAGCTTATTAAATAAACGCTTGATTTAAAGTGATAACATTTAAGTTTTCTGTGACTAATTTAATCCCACCGTTTAAGCAATTCTGCCATTGTTTCATTTCATGTCATAGGCCTACAAACAACTAAATTTTTGACCTTTTTTATAAGACGTTGGATCACAATAAATTGATAGGATAATTAACCAAGAAATCATTGGCAAATTGTTTTCCAAAATCATTTTATATCTCATTTTATAGTTTCTAGCAAATATATCTTTAGAGACTGACCTATACAAATCATTAGGCCCCACGTTACTGTAATAGTTACTGAATAGTTTATTCTTTGATTTTTTCAGGCAACCGGACTAAAGATGAGAATTAAGGAAATTGACAGAACAGCCAATGTGGCATGGTCACCAGTAGATCAGTACCCTATATACCTGGCTACTGGAACAGCAGCTCAACAACTTGATGCTACATTCAGGTTAGTGCAGAATACAGATCTTTATCCTTAAAAATTGAACCTTTTTAATAATTTAGAATTAAAATTTAATTTGTGGAATTTTAATGTTTTACTAACCCGGTTGTAATTTTAGACCACAACACATAAAATTTGATAATACTGTCATCAATTTCAATGGCATTTTGAATTTTGAACTCCCAATAAATTGAACATAATTCATTAGTACTTATTTTATTATATTAACATTTGCAGCACCACATCATCATTAGAATGTTATAGCTTAAATCTGGCAGAAGCAACATTAGATATGCCTTTAGTTTGTTCAAACCAATCAGATTTCAGGTAAAAAGTTCATATTTCAAAGAAGTTATATACTACCCGGTACCAGAAACAATATAGCTTACATAAGTTAGCTAGATTATATGTAGATGTAATGAAACTAGTTGAAATGTTACTTTGTAATTAAAAGAAAAGTACCTGTTTTCATTGTGTCTCTGAAATAAAAGTTTGTCAAAATTTCAGCTTAAAATGTTAAGCTGTTCGAAATTTAATGTCTAAATCGTTTAAGTGAGTTCAGGGATCATTGTTGCCTTACAGCAACTTGCCAATGGCCATAAACTTGTCTATTTGGAGAACGAAAAAAGGCTACAATTTTGACCATTGGTGGCCTGTTTTTAGTTTTAATGCTTCCAAAAAAATTTCTGAACTTGTGCATGGTTCACACAAAAATTCACATGAATAGCTGTTCAAAGATATTTCTCAAAAGTAGCAATTATGAAATTTACTTTCATTTTTCTGTAAAGGAAGATAATTATGTTTGCTTCAATGTATATCCGATATGATTTTAAGCATATCTGATAGGTCAAATTGGTTCTCTATCATTGATCTATTTAAAGCTGTCACAGAGGTTCAGATAGTTGTTCCTTCCACATTATATTACTAGTTTTCTTGACCGAATTATATCTGGGATTTCTCCTTTAAGATTTGAACAGTTTTCATTAGCTTTAAATCTTAAGAGTTTACACTGTTACTTAACAATCTGGTTATACCCTGTTACAGGTTTCATGAAGTATTGTGGGGATCATTTGGTATTGGAACATCAGATTATCCTGCTGGTGTGATTGTTACTGGTGCTGATAATGGAGATATACAAGTATTTAATGCTGATGCCCTGATTAACCAAAGAGAAAAAAGTTTAATATATACCCAGTCTAGACATACCGGTGCTGTACGAGCTTTAGATTTAAATCCTTTTCAAGTAAGTACAGATCTTACATTTAAAAGATTGGCAATAATACATGTTTGCCAGCTAGTTTTAAAGCTATAACCTTCAAATCTGAATATCGACTGACCTTTTTTGTATATAGGCCTACACAATCTGAAAGCAGTACAATTTATGATAAAGAAAAAAAACACATGGCTTATAGTTTTAATGCACAAACAAAATTACATTTTGTGTGCAATCCTGGAGCTTTTATTTTGAACAATTGGAAATTCTTTAGTCCTTTGTCACACATTGATGCCATCACAGATGATAAATATACTATTAAACTCAGAGCAGTTTAGGCCTCACAAGAATTTGGCTTAGTGGTCTTGTTATATTTTATGTAACAATTTCTTATTTCAGGCAAACTTACTTGCATCAGGTGGAGGAGAATCAGAAATTTATATTTGGGATTTAAATAAACCTGAAAATCCCATGACACCAGGACAGAAATCTCAGGTATGTAGGACTCAAGCATCAGTGCTTGTAATAATGTACAGTCAGAACTTTATTCAAATTCCCAAATTTATTTAATTAGCTCCAAAATTTATTTATTCCCTTTCCAAAGATATTAAATCTTGATGAATCATAATACCGATATATATTTACTTGTGTATGTTTTAGCCATGAATCTTGTTGCAATTTTGTACTCTTTTTATTAAACATTATAATTTGTGATATTATTTTAGCCATTAGAAGATGTAGCATGTGTTGCGTGGAATAGACAAGTACAGCATATCCTGGGTTCAACACTTACAGCTAGATGTGTGGTGTGGGATTTACGTAAAAATGAACCCATTATCAAAGTCAGTGATAGCATGTCTAGGGTATGTATACATCTTTGTGTTACGTTAATCAATGAATTCTTCTTCGTCACTCACACAGTCAAAATTCTAAGTTTATAAACATGGTCAAACTAAGAATTGCACATGCTGAAGCATGATAGAGCATAAAAGATTCAAGAGAGAGAGAGAGAGAGAGAAATGGGGTTTAACGTCCACTCGACACAAACTAGGTCATTTCGGGACTAACACATGGTTCAATTTTATTTCAACGATTCGCTTGCGCGTAGGGGTCTTTAGCAGTTGGAGGAAACCGGAGTACCCAGAGAAAACCCACGAGGTTGGACAGGCATAAAAGATTCAAGCATTTAGAAATGCAGCTGTCGATAACAACGGGATGTCCATCTTACTGGAAAAAAAAGAAATTTATTCAAAATAAACAATTTAGGAATTTTGCGAACATGCTTTGCGAACATGCAAACGTAAGGGTTTCTGTTTGCTACTTTAATGAGAGAAAAGTAAATTTGACTAAATGTTGTTGAATTTATTGTAATGAGTACTTTTCTTGTAGATCAAGTGTAAACAACTAGCTTGGCATCCTGAAGTAGCTACCCAGTTAATGTTGTCATCAGAAGATGATCATACACCGGTTATACAATTATGGGATTTAAGATATGCCACATCCCCACTTAAAGTTTTAGAAAATCATAAGAGGTTCGTCTTTATTATATTGAAAAATAGGCCTGCAAAATAAAGCTATTATGATACATATACAACAAAAATACAGTTAGTGTGAAAATGTTTTGATATGTAGAATAGGGCTATAAAATAGTACCAATGCTTAACATTTGACTTTTCCAAATTTCCTTGAAACAGAATGCTATGACATGATTAATGTGCCGCTAATACTATAGATAACTTTACATCTTTCTTATTTTGAACAGGGGTGTTTTGTCTATGGCCTGGTGTCCTCAAGATCCAGATCTACTTCTTAGCTGTGGTAAAGACAACAGAATTCTCTGTTGGAATCCAAACAGTAATGTACAAGGAGGGGAGGTAATTTCCTTGTTTCTATCTGTATGATTGCATATTTCTCAGGATATTCAGTAAATGCATGTTAAGAAACTTTTTTTAATACCATTCTTAAATTGGACAGACAGTGTATATTATATATATGCTTATTTTAATGTAATATATTTTAGGAATGTTTCTGTATGGATTGTTTTATTATTGTATAGGTTGTTTATGAAATACCAACTAGTAATCAATGGTGTTTTGATGTACAATGGTGTCCTAGAAACCCATCACTTATATCTGGTGCTACCTTTGATGGTCATATTACTATTTATAGTTTAATGGGTGGTGGACATCCAATACAGCCCAGTAATAAGGTATTTTATCAATCATCAAATTATTTCTCCATTAGTCATGATGTCCATTGTTCCAGGTGGTCTATATGTGTTAGTTTAACTTATAATATATCAATTATCAGGAGTATCTGAATTTGCCAACCAGTAACTGACGGTATTATATGAAACATGGCAATGGCTGCAGTTGACTGCAAATTTTAAACAATATTATCTGTACATTGTTACTCAAGATACAATGATTTTATGATGGTAGAAAAGAGCTTTTTCTTGATTTTGATGGGTTCTTCAAATAATAACAACATAATTATGACTTAAAACTACATAAAGAATTCAGTTGATCAAAATCATTACTTCTCTATAGTTTACAGTCATGATTTTTATGCATTCACAGGTGGCCGAGTCGTTCAATACTGTAGAACCATTTGCCCAGGCACCAGTACCAGTTCCACAAGAACAAGACAAAGTAATGCCTCTACAAAAACCACCAAAATGGTTAAGAAAACCAGTAGGAGCTTCATTTGCAGTAAGTATTGTATTTCATATTCTTGTTAGAATATTGGATGTAAGGGAAATCTGTTCCTTTTGGTGTGATAAATTGTATTATTGGGTCCATCTGTTCTTCTATCATGCTTTGAAGTACAATAACTTTGTAGCAAATGGATTTTATTAAAGCTTATAATGTACTTCCATTATCACAGTGATTTACTTTAATAATCTAATTATTTGATCATATAAATGCCATAACTCTGCTTCTGATTCACTTATAAGTCTCCCATAGATATTCAAATATCAATACATTCTTATCATAAAAAGTTTTCAATAAATCCTCATAAATGTCCAGTTGGACTCCCGATATCAATGCCATATGTGCATATTTAATTATCCCACTTTAAAGAATGTGGTTATATTCACTATAATTTGTCTTCCTGTGAAACCCCTGTTCACTGATCAAATATAGGCAGGATGACAAAAGCTAATTACTCGACTTGTTTTAGCAGTTAAGGCTTCACTGTATAATAATTCTAATGCATTTCAGTTTGGTGGAAAATTAGTCAGTTTTAGTCATACAAAGCCTCAGAATCCACAACAGCCAGTACCAAAACAAGTATTTATAAGTCAAGTTGTAACAGAGACAGAAATAATCAACAGATCTAGTCAATTAGAACAAGCAACTAATAATAATCAATTCGTGGAATTCTGTGCTATGAAAGCCTCGAATAGCGGTAACCGCATGGAAGAAAGTATTTGGAACTTTTTAAAGGTATGTACTGTTATGGTTATAATAGAAAATGTAGAAAATTGCTTATAATCAGACAGTAATGGCAAACAATTTAAACACAGTCCATGAAAAGAAAGGTTAACTAATATCAAAGTGAACTTGCACAAGAAAACCCTCCACACAAATTACAAAGTGCTATCAGGTGTTCAATAAAGTTTTCATTTATTTTCTTAAGCTTGGGTAAATTGTTTGATTTATATAAGATTGTCAATGAAAAGTGTCAACAAACTGAATTAATAAATGATTGTCACTGTTGATGGATTGTTTCAGAATTATCACCAATTAATATATTTATATTTTACCAGGTTAACTTTGAAAAAGAACCCAGAAAGGAGTTCTTACAGTTATTAGGTTATGACGAAAATGATCTGGCTGCAAAGGTAATTATTTTTATAATTTAATTGATTGAGAAATTTTTTTTTTTACATTGTGTCTAGAAAATATATATATGAAAATCTGGCTGAATTCTGATTTTTGTATGGAGAAAATAATTTTGAAACTTTTTCAGAATTAAAAAGGAAAATTTCAATTTTGCTATGTAATTAAAGTAAGCATTTCATAGAAAAGGAATGATGCTTAAAAATATTTCTATTTTTTTTTCTAAGGTAAATAATCATACAGCAGCAGAAGCTGAGAGAAATAAAGGTGTTGATGCCTCTGAGTTGGCACAAAAAATGTCTCAACTAGGATCAAATGTAAGTATATGGTTGATCGGTAAATATACAGCAACAAAAGTGGTGAAAAAAATATACATGTTATTAATTTGATATACTCGGATCTATTTGGAATTGGAACTTGTAAATTAACTAATGTAATAGATCAGATAGGTGTGTAATTTTAAACTTTTTCTAATTTTAGGATCTTCTTGGTGTTAATCTTCCGTCAAGTGGTCAAGCTTCTCCTAGTGTTGGATCAAAGGTAAATTTGATTTTATAATTAATCTGTTTTCACACTTCAGAAGTTAGTGTTAGGTACTATAATATTGTTTATTGTAATCAGGGCTTGTAATTTCAATTTAGAATATTGATAATTTCCTACTTACTATATATATTTTGTAGACACCTAATGATAGTCGTGATGAATTATCTGATGGATCAGCAGCGTTTGATGAAATAGCTACAGCACAAACATATCCTGGTTTAAAAACACCTCTAGTTATACCTAAAGATAATGGTTTGTATATTACACGTTCTTGTTATATGTAGTGCCAAGTTATCAAAATGATTTATCTTTGTGGGCTTCACATGTGAATGAATGAAATAAAACCAAGTACGAACAATCCAAACTATTAGACAAAATTCGAAGTCCTAAAAAAAAAAAAAACGGTATAGGCAAAATAGTGTAATCAGCATATGGACTGTTCACCGTGTACAAAATACACGACAAACAGTGGTAACAGGTGTCCGGAAGAGTAAGCTTACCCTGCCTGGCGCCACACCCACCATAGCTGCATCCAAACTATTAGGCGAAATCTCGGTAAAATAGGGTGATTGGCCAATGGACTATCAGTATGCAAAATGCACGTGATGAACAGTGTTAAAGATGTAGTAGACATACTTTATCAGGGAGATTGTATACGCGTCAATTAAATATATCTAGAATAATAGCCGAGAGAGACATGTTATATTTACCAATCAAGTCAATATGATGCCCATAAAACTATTTAAAGGTTTTAATAAGTTTAGTTCGCAAATATCCCTGAAGTTTAGATGACAAATGCCTCGATCTACTTAAAAAATCAGAATAAAATGAACAAGCTCTCGCATAACGAATTAGTTGAGACACAAACACTCCATAAGCTGGTGATATTGGAATGTTACTACTAATAAATGGAAAGTTAACAATCGGAAAGTCAAAGTCATCATGTTTATCGTACAATTTAACACTAAGTTTATGGCAATTGTCAAAATCGAGACGCAGATCCATGTCTAAATATTTATATAACATTTGAAGCCAGAAAAAAGTCCTGCAATAGGCAGATTTAGCTCTTGAATAATTCATCTTTAGCAGTTTACTTGATAATTCTGTTCGGGAGGATTTTAAATTATTTTATGAATTACAGATGCTGATGGATTAATGACACAAGCTTTACTAACTGGTAATTTTGAAGCAGCTGTTGATATGTGCTTGAGTGAGAATAAAATGGCTGAAGCTATAATACTAGCTATTGCAGGTGGTCAGGAATTACTCAGCAGAACACAGAAAATATATTTTAAGCAGAATAAGAGCAATCTAGGAAGAGTGAGTATCTCATCACATATCTTATATATCTTTATGGGGGGTTGGATGGCTGAATGGTTAGCGTACGCGCACTGTATCATAAAGTCTGTCATTGAGTCGACTGGCGTGGTTTCGAATCCCCTATGCGCAAGCAAATTATTGAAATAAAATTAAATCATCATATGTTAGTCCCAAAATGACCTAGTTTGTGTCGAGTGGACGTTAAACCCCATTTCTCTCTCTCTATATATATCTTTATAAAAGGATAAAAACCAATGCTGTTAAAACAATGTGTTGACTTTACCCTTTTATGGAGAGATTTTGGTTAAATGCAAATCCAACTTGGGAGTACAAATATGAAAACAAATCCGTTGAAAGAAAAACCTTGACAGTTGGAATTTGACAAGTCAGTCTTCATTAACCTTGGTGATACAGGTAAATAGGACGTTTATTTTATTTTCTGTTTAAATAATGGTATAAAAGAATCTTTCATGGTGATCACTCACTAATTGTTTTATTCAATATTTCATTTCAGTTAATATCATCAATAGTTACCAATGACTGGACACATATTATTGAAACATGTGATTTAGATAATTGGAAGGAAGCTTTAGCAGTTATATTAACTTATTCTAAACCTGAAGAATTTTCTCCTTTATGTGGTGAGTTCAAGTTATCAATATGTTCATTTGTTGATTCATTTCTTAAAGTGGAATTGTGGAGTATTTATCAGATCTGCTTAAAATTGATCTGCTTTATTCAGATTTCCGATGATGAATTCCAGAGTGTGTGTCCCAGTCCTTCACGTTTATAAAATTGTGTGGGAGTCATAAAAAGCTCCTGATACCTTGAATATATGCAGTTTGAAAGTAAACAAAAACTGAAAGTAGTTTATTAATCTCAATATTTAGGAGAGCGATTTAGCTAATTTGCAGGAGTCTTTAATGACTCCTTCGAAGGAAAGACGACGTGCGTCGAGAGGAGCAGGAGCGAAAGCTCCCCTTAAAAGTGAAGGACTGGTGTCCTGGTTCTCTTTATTTAGAACACTAGTGATAAAGTTATCAGCATGAAATTCATTTATATACATTGGTCAGATTAGTGACACAAAGATTCACACGTACAGATTTCCCACACCTGCACTTTCCAAATATTCATATGTAAACAACAATTAATTGTTTAAATATAGTTTAATACTTTGTTTTATTTTAGATGCACTTGCATCTCGTCTAGAATCCGAGAATAATGGTAAACTATCATTATATGCCAGTCTATGTTATATATGTTCTGGTAATATAGAAAGACTTGTGGAAAACTGGATACGTAACACAGAAAATAATAATGAACCATTAGCTCTTCAGGTAGGTTCTGTATAATAGTAAACTGTAAAAAAACTCTCATTAATAGATTAATTTAAGACTATGCAACATGTATCTAAACTTAATATACAGAGTGTTATTGAAATAAAGTACCAGGTATATAAATATGAGTAAGTGCAGGAGGACCTCACCACACATACACAATTACTCAACACAAAACCACGGACAGGACACAGACATTTCAAATCAAGTGAATGGATCTGTGAGCCAGCCGTGCATGTCCACTGCGCTTTACAGTCCAGGGCCTGTAATGTGAATAAAGTTATGATATTAAACATAATATATTTTATAGGATCTTGTAGAGAAAGTTATGATATTAAGTACAATATATTTTATAGGGTCTTGTAGAGAAAGTTATGATATTAAGTGTAATATATTTTATGGGATCTTGTAGATAATATGTTTTATGGGATCTTGTAGAAAAAGTTATGATATTAAGTATAATATATTTTATGGGATTTTGTAGAGAAAGTTATATTAAGTATAAAATATTTTACAGGATCTTGTGGAGAAAGTTATGATATTAAGAAAAGCTGTGGCTGTAACAAGAGGAACTGTACCAGAGATTGCTAGTGGACCATTAGCTGAAAGATTAAATCAATATGCTGGTATATTAGCTGCTCAGGGTAACCTCTATACTGCTCTAGGATATCTTAAAAATGCTAGTGAGGTAAGAAGATGAACATATAATCAGACAATCTAACTTAAAATTTACAGAGCGAACAAAACTTGAGGTCAGTTAAGATGCAGGATTCGTTCATTAATAGGATTTCAACAATTTTTTCTTTAATTGGGACTGGTAGTGGTGTGGTTCTGACACTAGGATATGGCAATTCCAAAGAACAATAAAGATTTTTATAACCTATTTCGTTAATTTCAGTGTACTGTGAAAAATAATCGAAAGGCTTTAATTTAATTGAATATATGATTCCACTGTTTCTTTTTCAGCCTAGTCTTGCCATTTTACTAGATAGATTATATCAGGCAATAAGTCAACCAATACCTGGAATGGCTCAGCCACAATTCCCTTTCCAGAAAATTAACTTACTTCCAGTTGGTGCCAGGCAACCACAGCAGCAACCACAGCAACCACAACAACAACAACAGCGTGGTATACAGCAACGACAGCCACAGAGACATTCACATCAAACACAAGCGTCAAGTGGATTCCAGACTACGACAACACCGTCATCAAGTTATTATAACCCTGTAACTTATCAACAACAATATCCATCAATGAATGGACCTGCTAATACACAGCCAACATATACACCATACCAACCTGCTGTTAGTGCAGCTCCTGTACCTAATAAAGGTTAGTACTTATTCTATTATTATTACTTCCAATTGGGGGCTGAGTATTAACATGGGAATTTTCAAGCTTTGTCCTCAATTTTTGTGTAATACTTGCAAGTTTGTTTTGTAGTTCTATAAATTAATACAGTGTTTATATTCATGAGACAAAAAATTTCTACAATTTCCAAAAATTTCTAACTTGCACTTTGAATAGATAATCTGATTGGCTTTAAAATTATGTTATACATGTATTTATATTCATGAGAAAAAACCTATTGAATTTCAATGATTTTATATAATTACTTGCTGTGTTATTGTCCTTTGTCGAGCTGAAATATCTGGTGAACAACCTGGAGGCTAAGTGAGACACGCCTTAAGGACTGTTTGGACAACTTATCTTCTTTTTCGTTGACTGGCAAACTATCTTTCCTTTGGTTGATATATATAGATATGTCGTTATTTCAGGACCCTTGTCACATAAATATCCCACTCCTATACAGCCAACTAGTAATTATGGTATGGATACCTATTCCCAGCCTAATTTTATGCAACCTCAGTATCAACCAACAGCACCTTATTCACAAAGTCAAAATTATTATGAGTAAGTATAGCTTTCAGTGTCATTTGTATCCTGTTTAGTATGGGTTTAATTAAATTAGGGCTTAAACTAAAATATAACTAAACATTCTTTGAACATGTTTATGTATCCTGATTTCTGCTCCGAATTAATGCCATGACTAATTGAGAACTATTATTTTAACAGTTATAATGCACCAACATCAGTAAACAATCAACCATCAAGTGTTTATGATCCTATGGCAACTCCAGGTAATTTCTTATTTCATTCTTATTTCATTTGTTTTGCTTGGATTAAATGAAGATTATTTACCAGCAATACAAATTTGTATAACCTGTGTTATCCAGATTCTTTTAAGTATGTTTATATTCAATTTGGCATTATTGGATGTATGTGTTCTGTCCTTATAAAAGGTTTATTTGTATATTTTAGGTGGTCCATACAATCCACCACCACCACCTAACATGACCGGACCAGTTGCACCATCGTATCAAGATGTTAAAGCAGATAATGCCTGGAATGATCCTCCATTAGTAAAAGAGAAAAAACAGGTAACTTGGATTAATCCAAAACCGGATATAATTATTGTACATTCACAGAGTATGGATGTTAAAGTGAGATTCTTTAACCTAGTTCTAGTAAATCACAAGAAATCTCAAAACACCATTAACATGGACCAGGTTAATAATATGATACCTGATGTTTTTGACATAAACCTCATTGAATCAGCGAGTATAGAATGTATATGATTATTCTAGATCAGTTTTGATTATGCTGTTGATATGTTCTCGTATTTATTATTAGCAGACTCCAAAATATGATGGTCAAACGCCTACATCCTATTATGGTGGTGTATCTCAACAGTGTACAGATCAAGGTCCTCCTGGTGCTCCTAATTATAGTAATCTCTATAATCCACAGGAACATCAAGTACAACAGGTAAAAAAAATCATGTTCAGTTTTCATTTTAATTAGTTTTTATTAGTTGTAACTCTAGTTTCTTAGTAATTAGTTGTTATTTAGTTATCTTTTAATTTTGAAATATCTAATTTTCTAAAAGAACTTAATTCTAATAATATAAACAGATCAATGATTTCACAGACATTTACTTTTAATCCTACACACTGGTTTTAAATATTTTTACCCGACACTTCACGTCAAAAAAATGATTCTTTAAAAGCCCTACATAGGTAAATAAATAAAAAGAGTATCTTAACTGTAATCAGTTGAATCTTTAGATTTTGATAAGCATCTCAAAAGTTTTATATAACAGTAATATGAATGCACCTCAAAAGTTTTATATAACAGTAATTTGAATATTAATCTTGTATATTGGAACAATGCATAACATCACTGTTTAACGAATGTGTGTAATTCAGAGCATGAACTAAAACTGTTTTATTATGTTAAATACTAACTTAAAGTCGCCATTTCAGAATTCCGAATAATAATAAAATTGATAAAATTTACTATTTGTTTATTGCATTATTTCAGATTACTAACCGGTAATCTTTTCCAGTTATCAATAAAAATCTGAAATTTCAAATTGTCGAAATTGATGTTTTTAGAGATTGGGTATTTTCTTGTCTCTTTAAATAAAAAACTTCTGCACTACTTGGAATGGCTATAACTTTCTGTCTGTATTTTATTTGTTAATATTTCTCCCCTAACCCATATTATGTTTGATATTTCCTTGTTAGATGCCTGCTTCATATAACTATTCAAATATACAGAAGGTGGCTGAACAGAAGGTGAGGAAGATGCCAACATTTTGTATTGTAATTTATTAAAAGAAACCAACATACTTTCCCCTTCACGTTATTTTAATAATGTAATATTATTTAAGCCACCACTTTAGAACACCTATTGACAAACTGAGGACCATTTGATATTTGGTTTGGATGCTGTTAAAGCAAAACATTCTTTGTACTTTATTCTGAAAATGAGTGGGGGGTTGGATGGCTGAATGGTTAGAGTGCGCACACTGTATCATAAAGTCTGTCATTGAGTCGACTGGCGTGGTTTCGAATCCCCAGTTGTACGTGACAAGGAGTAGGGTCGCCTGTCCAACCTCGTGGGTTTTCTCCGGGTTCTCTGGTTTCCTCCCACTGCTAAAGACCCCTACGCGCAAGCGAATTATTGAAATAAAATTAAACCATATGTTAGTCCTGAAATGACCTAGTTTGGGTCGAGTGGACGTTAAACCCCATTTCTCTCTCTCTCTGAAAATGAGTGTGGCTATATTGCTTAGTGATTGAGGAATTAATTCATAGAAATAAATAGCTTGTCTTTGAAAAATAAAAATTTAAAGTTTCCATGGTGGCCCTCAGTATATAATCAGATGGTTCATTCACAGTAAAGCTAATTTTTCACGATGACTGATCACTGCCATGTTAAAAAAATGTTCAGTTGGGTATACATGTATCTGCTGCATGTTTGAGAATTATGTGATTTTAATGCAGCAAAGATGTATGTATCTTCAATTATAACTTAAAATACTAAATCCAACTGGAGTATAAAATCATTTCTAAAGATGATATTTTTGTTGTTAACATATTGCATATTTAGTTAAGACATATTTTCTAAAACTCAGAATACATTTCTAATCAATGAAAATTACTTTTATCCTGAATTGTCACTTGTTAAATCAACTATTTTTAATATTGAATGTACAACCACATCATGTTTATAAGGTTATGTTTTTGTTGGTGATAACTGGCATTGCATGCAAAAAAACTACTCCATTACATATTAATATGCAACCCAACATATTATAGAAAGCATGATTATATTAATCCATTTTACACCAATTTTGTACTGTATTCCCGATAAATAATCAAGGTATCAAGATATTATAATGTTAATGTAACGTTCAAAATCTATATGACAATATAATGTGTCAGTGCAGATGTATGCAGAATATTAGGTTAAATGAGCGTTTAATCGAGTCTAATTAGTATCAAGTAGAATAGTACCCAATGTCTAGTAAATCGAATCAATTGCTAAGCAACCTAGCGGATGTTGAGAACATGTGCAGAAGTGAAGCTGAAAGTGTGCAATGTGAGCTGGCGACAGTGTACTGTTTTCTACCGAATGTAACGTTTCACTACGTTATGATTAACTTTACATTTGACATTTGATTATCTATGTATGTATCTAAGAATGTGACCTGCAACCCAGGAACTTTTGTGTTATATGTGATGGTGAATAAATAGTAGTTATTGTTTGCAGTATCATGTTTCTTAGACATGTCATGGGGAGTGCGTATGTAACGATATGCTGAAAAGGGACTAGATGTGAATATTTTAGTGAAGTGAACATCATCGAAATAGTCTTCGTCAACTCTGCATCTACAGTTAACTATAAGAAAAAGGAATGTACATTTTCTGAGAATACCAAATTTGTTAACACACTACCCCTGTACAGTGAATTTAACAGATGTTATGTGTTATGTTTGATATTTTAACCATATTGACCTGTGTATCGAAACTTCACTAAGTTTATATTAATCTGTAATATTTATTATTTTAGCCTGCACCTGTACAAGAACCGCCTAAACCGGTAGTTAAAGCACCAATACCACAAGAACATCAAGTTATAGAAGATGTATTTGGTAAACTAGTCAATAATTGTTTACAGGCTGCTAGTAATGCCGTAAGTATTTACCACAGTCTCTTTAAACAAAGTTTGTTTACATGTGAACACCTTATGGAAGTGGTATGTAATATTAAGGTTATAAGGTTATTCTGACTATTGATGGATCTTGATTTCAGACCCTGATGCTATGCTTCTGGTCAGAAGATAATCTCGTAGCCAAAAGTCACAGATTTTGGGATCTATTATATTAAATTAATCAATCTTTATTTTTTTTATTAGCAAATGAAGAGAAAGTTAGAAGATGTATCTAGAAAATTAGAAATATTATATGATAAATTACGTGATTGTACTGTAAGTTTACATGTTTTCTATTGTCATTTCGACTTTAATGATGAACACATTGATTAAAGTTTCTTATACTATGTGATTTATGAAATTGAATGGTAATCGTCAACTCTTCATTGCAACCTTTTCTATCTAATCACACAGTGAATGAACTATTTATAACTATTTCAAATGCAGATAAGAAACTTACGTTATAAGGTTTTTTGTTTTATTTTTATGTTTATTAAATACAAATAATGCTAAAATTTTCATCTCAAAATTATTTTATTTTTATATTTTTACAGTTATCTCAAAATGTATTGATGGGATTACATCAGATTATTCAGTATATACAACAATATGATTATACTACCAGTCTAGCTGTTTATACACAGATGATTAGTCAGGGCAACTTCTCAGAAATCAGTGCCTTTATGCCTGGTGTTAAAGTTCTACTCCAAACAGCTACACAACTACAAGTTTATCTTCAATAAAACTAGGACTAAAAATATAATACTTTTATCAATTGATTATGACATGTATATTAAAGATCCAAAGCAACAGATGGCCAATACTCATTTTCCTTATTTGAATTTTCAAAAATAAGTTCTCTATAGATACCAATGATTAAAACAATGTACATATGTAAAATGCCATCATGACATGTTCAGGTATCAGCTGTCTAAGAAACATGATACTGCAAACAATAACAATGATCTGAGAGAAAGGCAAAATGGTGGTATTAACTCAGTAGAAATTAATGGCCATAAGTTCTGTTAGGATTGATCAGTCTATATTTGCCTTTTAGTGTGGAATAGTGTAATTATATCTGTAGAAATTATAAAACGTATGAAATCAATAATTATTTTTAAAAAATCAACATTGCATTTGTCTGTGCTTCTCATATCAGCTTAGTCCAAATGAAATCCCATGATATTTATTAAGTTTAGCTAAATTGTACATTATCAACTACAGTATCTATTTCTGTTATTGTACAATACCAGCTAATGTGAAAATAAGTCTTGTGTGACATTTGTTCTTAGCTATATTTTACATAAGCTGACAATTCTTTGTTCTGTTATTGTATATGCCAAAGTGGAAATGGTCTCCTGTATTCATTATAACCATGTATGAAAATTGATAATTGTAAATAAACATGTATCTTATTCAATCTGTTATTGTACATGTAATTTTATGTATTTTGTACATTCTGTTATTTTTGTTATATCTTCCATTACCCTGGTTTTGAAGCCCCATGTTCAAATGGTAGATTGGATCTTTTTATGCAAGCACATCAATAATAATAGTTCTTTAATCACCTGTTTCAGTAAATGGAACTAATCATTAGAATGGTTGTAAACTAGATTTACTTGATCTACAGTTGTTTATTACTTCAGTAGAATTTGATGAGTCATGATCTTCAAAATTTAAGAAATGGGATACGGTTGTTCTGATTTGGATATACATATTATCACTCTGTTACATTCACTTAATTAAATAGTTAATGCGTTTATTTTTTGGCACGGTGTTATTTCATAATCAGGGCACATGAAGATACTGTTATTACTAAATGTATAGGATATTGTTTGTGTGCATAGTAATTCTTGTTGCAAGAACTTTATTTACTATAATCAGATTTATTTGATGTATTCAACATATATTTATTTATAATTACATATGTGTATGAATACATTATTATGTAATATATTTCATCTCATTTCAAATTATCTGTAGAACATTGTATACTGCCATTTAGCAGATGCATAAACAGTAATCAGTCTACTACACCTGCATTTTTCAAGTCATTTAAAACAAAAAGAAACTGAATCAAATAGCTTAGCAAATTTACAAATTGAAAGTATTTTATTCAAGATAATTTAATTTATCATGACTTTATAGTAATCAATACTGGTAGTGGACAAGCACAGAGAAGAAATGTAAGAAGTAGTATTACATGTAAAATTTGTAATGTTACTGAATGTCGAGAAGATAATATATAATTATATAAATAAAATATACTGATAATAAAAGACTAGTTGTAATTATCGTGTTTCTAATTCCTTTAACAATGATTGTCACTTTACAGGTTTACTGTAGATAAATAAAACAACTCATGCATCTACATGGAACATAATACTGCATTTTGCAAATGAAACACCACTGTAGATGACATTAATAACAGTGACCTAAGTATGTAACGATCAAATTTGTCCAGTTAAAAATACATTTCCCATAAAAGTATTTTTAGGGTAGTTATTTCCAATAAAAGTATGGCATTTTTGGTATATATGAAAAGTAGACACTCAATCTTACTAGAAAAATACTGGATTCCCTGAAAATCACCCACAGGACAAAACCACAAGGGTGTCCCTGACAACCTGCCTGCTTGAGTAATGTAAGGGGGAGCTTTTGTGTTGATCTAATGGTTGTGAGAACATTGAGAGATGTGCAGTAGACTGTGATTAAACGGCAGAGAACAATCCAAGAATTTACTTAGGCTTCCATATTTACGTTAAAATAGACAGCAACTTACAACATAAAGCTGGAATTTGCTTTTATCTCGAGGCATCTTAAAATAGATTCTTGCAGCATGGGGTAGCTTCTTGAGATTAAATGTTTTGAGTGAGATTTGAAGCAAACTTTTGATAAGATAAATTTAGTTTATGCTTTTAGTCCAAAAATATCCCCAAACCTGTTAGTACAGGGGAAGGTATATTTAATAGAGTTGTCACACTAAATAGTTTTACAGTAGCAAAATGTTGGCCTAATTGAAAAAAGAAATGGGGTTTCATGTCAACTTAACACAAGATCTAAATTGATTTATGGTTGTATTTTGATTTTTTTTTTTTACCCATTTGTGTCATTAAATTTACTTACCTGTGGGTAGGCCTTTTTATTAATGGAGAACAACAAATGAACTGTTTTGAACAATTATAAACTCTTCAACAAGTTAACACACTCACCATATCAAACTGATCAGCAGTAAATATTAAGCTTGGAACACGTGTACCATGGCGCTACTAAAAGAAGACTTTCACATTACCACTGTGAAACAGATTGTCTCCACATTGCCAGAACCATGATTCAACTGACAGTCCATGTAAAAGTCTACATTGATGTAGAAATGGGCTGATACAAATATGGTAGATAAACCTTTTTAGATTCTTGTCAATGAATATGTTCAAGATTAACCGAGGACATCATCTGGTTTTTGTCTCATCAAATGACTACAAACACGCATTTGTTGTTGGCCTTTGATGGTTTTCATGCCTGGAGGGAGCCATGGTGGCTAGGAGGGTAAGGCGCTGGCTCGCTAGCCTGGAGGTCGGGTGTTCGATCCCTGCATTGGCCAAGAAAGTTCATCCTGATTTTCCGACGTGGTTTCCCCTTGTCAGTGATGCAGGACGGAGGGCCTGACAAGGACAGCTGTCTAGTCCTTCGGATGAGTCGAAAAACCGAGGTCCTGTGTAAACATTGGAATGCACATAAAAGATCCCTTGGCAGTTGGAATTCGATATAAGAGTAGGCGATAGTGCCGCTGCCCTGGCAAAATTTCCCTCATAGCACACTGTACGGCGTATGCCCATCTTCATTAGCCCAGTATAGGAGCAGAACAGTAGGACGTTAAACCCCATTTCATTTCATGCCTGGATTTGAACTAGGAACATTCTAACTGCAACCACTGCAACTAGAGTAGTTATCTATAATGTCCATTACCATTGTTACTTGTGATTTGTGATGCTTCAGGTTAATAAAAAGCAAACTCTTTAGGCCGAAAACATTATTGGAGTACTGACATTCTAAAACATAATCAATGGCAATAATTCCTGAAGTAATCATCAGAAATTGCATTTCTGGCAGTCTATTTTTCAAAATTTTTCGGGGAGGGGGGCAGACCCCTCGAGCTGAGGCTTTGCCCCAGCTTTTTCCCATCATCCACCCGTGGCTGGCACCACCACTGACTGGTATATGATGACATGCAGTTACTGAGCACAGAAGTTCTACAAAGACATTGACTCCAGGAACAATTAACAGGAATTGTTAAAATTTTATAGATCTTGCTCATCTTAACAATGTCTCGAAGGTGTTCATAATGTGGGCATATAAAAACTATAGTGGTGGCGAAACCACCATTCTCAAACAACCTTCCTATGTCATATTAATTTTAAACCCATTTAGTCAAAAGATGAATAAAAATGTGTGATAAAAATCTTTTATTAAACAAACTGTATACTATTTTCCAAATAACAACTAATGTGTTTATATTATACTGACATCCAGATGAAAATATATACCAAGACATTCAGACTTTCTGAGATTATTTTGAAGAAAAAACAAAAGGTGTAAATCAATAAAAAAAAACATGTGGAAATAAAAACTGGTTGCATTTAGACAGCACATCTAAATCTTAAAGGGATTTAAATTAGTTTTTCTTGGTGTAGTTTCTTGTGGATGTCAGTATACATTAAAATATATTTTAAAGTATCAAATTAATTTTTCCAAATATATTTTCTTATTGCAACTGGAGCAAACTTTGACTTACAGCATTAAAGGAGAAGTCCCAGTTTTCAAATGGCCTTGAAATCAAATGCTAATATGTAAAGAAATGGCCAATTTACCATGTTGAAAGAGATAGAAATGGGAATGAATGCCCACTGAACACAAACCAGGTCATTTCAGGACCAACCATCATGTCTAAAAGTTTCTGCTCAAAATATTGAGCTGTTTGAAACGACTGCCAAAACAGTTACATGACTCTTTTAGAGCACTCTGTTCCAATTTTCATTGAGTGACCTTTTAAAAGTGGTTTTCAGTACTGTTTGAAAACTTGACAAAAGGTAATTAAAACACAGTACTTTTAAATTTTATTACTTGCTGTAAAACATCAAAAGTGATTGTTAGTCAATCATCTAGGTTAAAATTGTTACTTCAACTAGAATAAACAGTTTTAATCACTGAAATATCTCTGGGATTTCTCTTTTCAAAACCCTTAATAATCATGCAAAATCATTCTTATTTAATATCCTGATTCATACAGTAAATACAAATTATTACGAGACAGACATCTTATACTGACTCCAGTTGACACAAAACTTCAAAATGTCCATAGAATATTAAAATTTGAATTTTGTCAATAAACAAATACAAAAAAGGAATAAATGAATATAATTAGTAATTATGTTCTTCCTTGGTGTAATTTTAGAAATAAATCGATTATTTACATAAATTTACAACAATATTAATAATTATCATGAAAATTGCCTTTCTGTCAAGGTACACATATCAGTATTAAGAAATATGCTACAACACCTATCATACAACATGCAATATCAAATTGAGCTCATTAGATTCGAAAGAATGTCATTAAAGAAAGAAACAGATTTTGTAGCAAAAATGATCAAAACATTTTTGCTATAATTGTCAGATTGCATATAATATAAAGGCAGAACTCTCTGAAATCATAGTAAAAACATATAACACAAATAGCTGAAGTCAGTATTTCTTGAAAATTTATATATTAACTAATTACTAACTACTACTGCAACTATCCACTCACAGGAAAATACAGAACAGTTAAAATATACTCCAGAAATTTTAAAGATACATTATGTTGTGTTTCTGGCTTCAAATCTTACATAAATCATCATTTAAACATTAATTAACACGACAAGCCTAATATCAACACTCTAGACAATCGGATGGCCAAAATTTAAATGGATTTGAACACCTGTGAAATTTTAAAATGCATTGATAAAATGGATATAAACAATCAATGCTACATTTTCAAACAGTCATTACTTGACCTAGAATAAAGTAATTTTCAATATATTCGTTTTTCACTGTCTATGTTTGAATTATTATAGCAAGAACAGCCAGCCCATTATCTAAATCTTACATAATGCATCTTTAACTAATATCCTGTTTCAATGGCATTTAGTAATTGAACTAGAGTATACAGGTCACAATTCTATGGAATACAATTACTGCTTTTTACTGAGCGACGTTTCGACTAGGCTTCTCTAGTCATTATCAACTTTTGATAATGACTAGAGAAGCCTAGTCGAAACGTCGCTCAGTAAAAAGCAGTAACTAATATCATAGACATGATAGGATTGAATGATGCCATTAAAATTACTCCTTACATATATTGTGATATCTATTACAGATATATAGTTTATCATATAGATATATATATATATATCTTTTTGACATTAAACACCAACTCATTTCATTATCTTTAATGAAGGACTAGCACTTTTCAGATATGTGCCAGCTGGTAAAAAGTTATGAGATCTTTTGCTATGGTTTGATATGATCCTGCATAAATTTGAATCAATCCTGAAACCTCTTGATGAAAAACTGGTTTTATTACAATTTGTTTTAGTGCTTTTTAAAATATTTTAATAAATTCTTAAGAAAAGTAGTTCAGTTATTGGATTTTAATTAATTGGGTTAGTCTATAAGTATAACTATTTTGAATATCGTGTTATTCAAAATAAACTCCACTTTTTTTGGTTGTGAAAATGACAATTTTGATGAACAGGCAACAATAAAATATAAAGATTAAAGGGGTTTAGCTCTAAAATAAACATCTTTTGTTAACATAGATGTAATGCAAGGTATTTGTTTCTTTCTATTCATAAACTCTTGACTGGCATTCGACTCAAAATCGAAAGCTACCTTTTTATTAACTCTTGTCATCATAGTCATAAGATCAAGCTCTGTACCATATTTTTTAAAGACTTCACTTATTGCTTGTACAAACCAAGAACCATTAGCAGAATTTCTCCATGAAAAATATCCTGAAAGAAAGATATACAATAACGATGAAGTAATATATAGATAATAGAGAGAGAAATGGGGTTTAACGTCCACTCGACACAAACCAGGTCATTTCAGGACTAACATATGGTTTAATTTTATTTCAATAATTCGCTTGCGTGTAGGGGTCTTTAGCAGTGGGAGGAAATCGGAGGACCCGGAGAAAACCCACGAGGTTGGAATAGATAATAGAAATTTACTGAACTATAATTGTCACATGTGAGAGTAATTTGATTCCACCCTTCTATGTAAAAAATTAAAAAAGACATCTTATAGCCTAAACCATGGAATTATTTCATCACCATGTCGTATGTTTGTGGTGGAAATCAATCTTGTTAAAAAGTGCAATGATCCTAGACGATAGGCAATCGGCCAAATGAAGTTGATATTGGAGAAAATTAAACAGAAAGGAACATGATTTATAAAATCCTTGTTTCTGTCTTTAGTATTTATACTTACTGAGAAGATGTCTGATAATCTGACTTACATGAATATGAATGTAAAAAACTTTAAGCATAATACTGAGTCTCTTGAGCTTAATGTTATTGTTGAAATATTTTCTATTTTACAAGTGCCTGTGACTTCTCTGAGGTTACCTCTTACCTAGTAATTCATCTTCTAAAATCTAATTTCAAAATATCATGTTCATTTGGCTATAATTAAACTACCAATATTATGAAAAAGGCAGGTTTTACTCTTTTAACAAAACAAGATACTACTTCTTTTTTGTTTAATTTAAAGCTAAACTTCGATTACAAAACTACAGAAATAATTAAATAAAAAAAATTAACACCTTAAATAATCGCCATACTTGTTTTCAAGTTGTAGAACAATTATGGACGATTGTACGGCGTACAAAAACAAGAGGCAGGCCACGCCCACACCCAGTTCATGCCTTGTCAACCACACTGTCCACATCCGGCTAGCAATATTTCAGCTGACTGATTGACGTTTTTTCACTATCAGTTTACTGAAAATATTATTGCTACACAATTATTATGTCTGATCAGGTACATATTATTTTACTAATTAGACGAAATAAGTAAACCACGGTGTACTTTTGCTCTAAAAAATATGAGAAAAACTGCCTTACCCCAAACAATACCAAATCTACCAACACAAACAATTTTTTTCTTATTTCTTGAAATGTTTTGTACAACAGCGTGGAAACACCAAATAATTTCTAGTATTATAAAGTCTAGTATTATCGTTCCCAAATATATCCAAAGCAGCAATAAAACTGTTCTTCTCTCCATCGAAGAAGTATGTTTTCACTTCAAAATATTCACCATCTTGTGAAGTAGTTATGTCCCTTGATGTTATGTCAATAACATAGAATTGGTTGGTGTTGTTGGTAGATTTGTTATTGTTTGGGGTAAGGCAGTTGTTTCTTATTTTTAGAGCAAAAGTACACAGTGGTTTACTTATTTCGTCTAATTAGTAAAAAAATATGTACCTGATCAGACATAATAATTGTGTAGCAATAATATTTTCAGTAAATTGATAGTGAAAAAATGTCAATCAGTCAGCTGAAATATTGCTAGCCGGATGTGGACAGTGTGGTTGACAAGGCATGAACTGGGTGCGGGCATGGCCTGCCTCTTGTTTTTGTACGCCGTACAAACGTACATGATTGTTCTACAACTTGAAAACAATTATGGCGATTATTTAGGGTGTTAATTTTTTTTATTTGATTATTTCTGTAGTTTTGTAATCGGAGTTCAGCTTTAAGGATCAACAAAATTAACAAATACATATACCAATAACTGGAAATTAGAAAAAACAAACCTGGTACAACAGAATAGGCAATTAAAAAGTCAGCTTCTGTAGGAATTCTCTGTATTTTTATTTCTCTAACTTCAGGTAAGGCATCTGTTCTTTCTACACCCTGATCCAACTGAGTACCTCGACAAGCCTGAATTATAATACAACATTATAAATTTAATGGAACTAAAGTGTGGAATTGGGTTAATCTTATCTTATGTGCTAATTTTGATTAGTGATTGAACAAGATCTATAAATGATTATATCCTTATTTCAAAATATTAAAGGAAGTTGTTTGGTTTTATAATTTCAGTTTTATTTTACAATGTCGACTGTTGCGCACAAATTCAGTTATATTTCAATATTTGCTCCACCAGTGGACCTGAGAGTTTAAACATACACAGATACACACTTGCCAAATCAACTTATAAATTTAATCAAAGAGGGCTAGCCATTTTAATATGAAGTTTTTTTTCAAAACTAAGCGTGTAGAAGAAATTAAAGTTACATAAACAGAATTTGGGGTATGTTCTTCTATGTACATATAATGGTATTTATTAACATAATTGTGACCAAACAATGACAACAAAATACAGTGATTTCATGAATAACAAGCCAATAGTGAGACTGATGTCCCCTGCCGAAATCCCAAGCTAAATAGATGACACATATTGATTAATTGCACATTTATCTTTTTCAAAAGTATCGAGCAATCAAAATGATTATCTGTACATAGTCTAAGCATAAAATATTCTCTATCAAACTCAGTCATGGTTTTGAAGTACCTGGTAGTGAAACTATACACTAAGTTTCATCACTCTCCATCATTTACAATCAAAGTTATCTTGTTCAAAAGCCTTGATTAATGAATTTGCTTAGCTTTGATTAGCTTTAGCGGAAAATGTTATTCATTGAACTCAGTCAATACATTCACCTAATTAACATCTACACCTTAAATAAGTGCCTACACCAAGTTTGAACATTCTACCAAAATTAGGAGAGGTATTGTGTTCTTAAGTCTTGACCAATTAAGTTGCTTATTGATCTGCTTACCCTGAGCAGAAAATGCTTTTTATCAAACTTAGTCAAGGTATTGATGTAATGAAACTAAATACCAAGTTTCATTACTCTCACTTAATTAGAACTAAAGTTATTGTGTCCCAAAGCATCAACCAAACAAATTGTTTACCTCTGCTTACCCCAAACAGAAAATGCTCATCTTCAAACTCCATCAAAGCACTCACCTAATAAACACTTAAACCAAGTTTAACCATTCTAGCTCAATTAGAAGGAGAGTTATTGTGTGCCAAATAGTGTGGCGGACAGACGGATGGACAGACAGATCCATTTTAATTGTCCCCTGCTTTCTTCGAAAGATGGGGGACAACAACAGGAACAAAGGAGCAAAGGGTTAAAATAATACTGCATCATTTTTTTTTTATCTAACATAGGTTGCCAAGCAATGAAAATATTAATAGTTGAGATTCATCATGTCATATGGATCAGGTACTTATACACACCCTTTCTTAAACACTACAACAATGTCCTATGGCAGGTTCACAAAGCTAACAACCTTTACTCATGCTTAAGTACAATAAAATTTGTTAGCTATGTGAACTCCTCAAATGAAAAGTGCTCTCACAAACTACCCTTTTAAAAATGGGAATAACTGGGGCTTTTTTGGGGGTACTCATCTCATGTGTTTCTTCTTTTCTTTCTATTTGATCCAAGAATAGGTCTGTTTAAAGGGGAAGGGTCAGTTAAGAAACAGTCTGATTCCCTTGTCTGAAAGTTTTAGTTCAAAATATTGAGCCATTTGGGAAAGTGATTTGATAAATTAAATGCAATTATTTCATAATGCATTTAAGATTATATTAGCCAAGAGGTAATTGAGAATACGGCAATGACTTGCAAAATTTTACTACTTAGATAGAGTATTATTACAACTGAAAACAAAAGATAGTGTGAATTTGTGACTACACACAGACAAGTTTATCTAGGGATAAGATTATTGAGAGTCAACACATTCATCTCCACCTCCACTTGAAAACAGGACATCCGTATGTCTTTGAAATCATATCCCAACAATTTAGAATATTGGCTTGGGACAAGAATAAGTGGTTCTAAAAGTCTTCCATACAGAATCGAACAATTTCATCCACTTATAATATTGAGATAAATCTAGGGTATCTTCTTTAATCTGAGCATTTACCATGTTATTGTCAGTAACAAAAACTATATAAATATAACAAATTACCTGAATAAAGAATATTTTAGGTTTACCAGCCAAACTTATAATATTGCGATAAATCTAGGGTATCTTCTTTAATCTGAGCATTTACCATCTTATTGTCAGTAACAAAAACTATATAAATATAACAAATTACCTGAATAAAGAATATTTTAGGTTTACCAGCCAAACTTCTACATTTATCCCCTTTAAATGGAGCTAACAATGTTTTAATTTCTATTGGGCCGTCTGTACCATATATCGTTCCTTCTTCACCATGTGATAATATAGCACACATAAAACAATCTGAATCTCCATGGTTTTCTGAGGCAGCTATATGAAAAACATACATATAAATCTAATAAAACCAAATATTTAATCAAATATATTAGAGATGCTAAATCTGCCAATTTCAGGACTTCCTTTTGGCTTCAAATTTTATATAAATTATTATTTAGACATTTATTAACATAATAAGCCTATAATCAACTCTCTAGATCATCGGATGGCTGATATTAAAGTGGATTGAAACATCCCTGAGATTAAAAATTTTAACGATAAGTTGGACAATCAAGGCCAAGTCACAGTTGTCAAGTACTGTTGCTTTCAATAATGAACGATCTACACTATATCTTCAAACATTTTTAGAATAAAGTAATTTGAATGAAATTTTTAATATATCAATTTTTTATTACTGGTATCTATTTCTTACCTTCTCTTAAAACTCTTTCCATTTCAGCCCTAGGTAAATCTGAATAAGGTACGACATGAAACCCAAGTTCATTAAAACGCAAATGCAAGTCATTTTTATCTTTATCTGTTCCTGTCCGTACACTCATTTGTGTACGAGGTTTAAAATTTTTATTATTAATTATAATAGCTTTTCCACGCTTTGGATGATTCATATTATATTCTTCAGTATAAAAGTTTTCTTCCAACTGCATTGGCTCCTCATTATGTACTGGAGCTGTTGTTCCGCCACTTGGCCTATTTACAAAAATTGGAAATTATAAAATAATTTTAAAACAATCCTGTGCAAAGCGTGCTAATGGAATACGATATTTACTTGATTTAATATTTCTTGTTTATTTCTTGTAGTGTCCATGTAATTTGTCTTTGTACTAGTGTGGTTCTCTTGCACTTACTATTAGATTAGTGGACACTTACGACTGGCCCCTGGATCCATTCACTTGATTTGATATTGTTTTTTATTTCTTGCGATGTCCATGTAGTTCGACTTTGTAGTGTGGTTCTCTTACACTTACTATTAGATTAGTGGACACTTATGACTGGCCCCTGGATCCATTCACTTGATTTGATATTTGTTGTTTATTTCTTACAATATCTAATGTACTTTTTTTGGTTGGTTTTGTTTTGCGTGTAGTGCGGCTCCCCTGCACTTACCAATACAAATGTATTAACCTGAATAGGTGTTTTGACACTATGGATTAATAAACCTTCTTTGAGAGGACAATTTATCATATAGAAACTATTTAAAAGTACAACTAAGTCTGGAGGGGAATATATATTCGTACCTGCTGCTATAACCTCTAGCATCTGTGTTATCATTACTAGGCATTACAGGTCGGGCATCTACAGCATCACCTAAAATATACAACAACATCAAATATTTTATTAATACAATCGTATTCTTAATGCTTTATGTTATCAGATGGAAGGTGTGGGGGCTGCAGATGCAGTGTTTTCATGTTTGCTAATTTCAAAGTGAAACTGGGCTACATATCTATTGTAATCAATTGTCACTTATTGTATTGTACTCAATCTAATAATTTCATCAATATGATTGTTTATTTTGTTATCTGGTTTTCTACTCAATTTCAAAGAAGTTATAGATGCTAATACAAGGCATTTTGATACAAAGTTACTGTACCCATTCGAGACAAGGCTGTTTGACCTCTGCATGAATTTTGCGTGATAAGCCTTTGACCATACCCAGTCACTGAAGACTAGTTTGTTAATTATTATGAAACAATACAGATATATTTTACGAGGAAAAGTTAAACATAATTAGGAATAGATATTTGAAGTTTTAATGGTATAATAGGTTGGGTTCCAACCTTAATATCTCCAGCAAGAAATTTTCGGAGAGGGTTTTTTTTCCTTGTTGGGGATATATTAGGCGGGGATTTTACCTACACTCATATTGGGTCATATATCTCAGTATTTTACATATCTCGGAATAATTTTATGTATGTATACACATAACTTAATCTATCAAAACAAAATCAAAAGTCAATTCTTTATCTTAGAGTTACAGTTCAGATACATGTACTTTAACATTTATATATTTGAATTAATACTTTATTTCAGTTAGCCAATTTTTTCATAAAATACCTTCATCAGGTTCAGAAAATTTTGAAAATGAGCTACACGATAACCATGAAGATGATGTAAAAATGATCCTTGACATCACAATTGTAGTAGATCACATGAGAAAACGGTTTTTGATGGTTGATAAGATCATATGTACAGTAAATATTTAAGTCTAAGTATAATATATCTTTAAAGATACCTACCCACATACAAACCGTGTGATTTGATGATATGTTTGGACTAAAAACAGATTCAAAATAAATTTATCAAAAGTTTGTTTCAATTCCCTCTCAAAACATTTGAATCGAAAAGAAAAAAATGTACCCCAATCTATTCTAAGCAATCTTGTTTGTCAAGTGGGTTGTTATTAGTCGGTAGTTGCTCTCCATATACCATAAGTAAATTCTTGGATTATCCTGTTAATTTTTTTCCCATTGTTTAATCGCAAAGTCCATTGGAGTTTTAGCTCCCTAAATGTTCTCACAATTGTTAACCATTAGATCAACACATAAGAAGTGCTATTTATGTCACTCGAGGAAACAGGCTGTCTGTTAAGTACACACAGTTTACAATTTTATCTAGTGCGCACACCATAAGTATTTTTCACAGGGAATCCAGTATTTTTCTAGTAAGAACTAAGAAAAGATGTCTCTACTTTCCATATATACCAAAATTGACATACTGTTATTGGAATGGTAATAACAACCCAATAAATGCTTTAGGGAATACATCTTTAAATGCATGCTCTCTTTTTATCTGACTTTTAAAATAACGTTAACACAAACAATGAATTATTCCTCATGATGTTTTTTTTTTTATACTCGATTAATAATAAAAGTCTTTGCATTATATAATACATATTTTTGACTATTGATGTGTATGTATACTCTGGCTTATTGTGTCTTATTAAATTTTACAAAAAAATCATTTGATCTTCAAATACTAACTGCAAAAATATTCCTTGTCATATCCAGAGGCGGATTCAATGGGGGGCGCGAGGGGCGACCCCCCCCCCCCTAATTTTCGACAGTGCCCTTTTTTACTGCTGAAAGTGCCTTTTCTCAGACTCAAATATGTCCGTTCCCAACCCGTTGTAGGGATCCCAAATGACTCAAACCATCGACTCAAAACACACCAGTCTGGGATATAGCTCTTGGAATGGCTACAGATGCAAGGAAATGACGGATAATTTTCTTGGGGACGCCCCAAGAATTACGTGTACAGATACTTGTAGGTCTAATGGGTTTTCCGATGCAATTAAGGTTGTTTACAATGACTACACAAGGTAGTACTCAATTTGAATAGTATCGACTTTCACCGATTTGAGGTACTGGTACTGGGTATCTGAATATTTCCCGTTCTAAATACATTCTTTTTTGCACCAACAGGCCTAATGTAAACGAGTAGGCCACTCACATGTGCTGTTAGGGAAAAAATTTAACCTAACAGTGGTGCTATGGATATAATAATAATAAATAATTTATTTCAAAATAAGGACATCATTTTAGTTATTAAAGGAGCTAACCCTCTAACTCAATATTTTCCATAAAATTTAAAATTAAAAACATGAAATAATGACAGATAATTTTTTTGGGGACGCCCCCCCCCCCCCTCAGCGGCGTGCCCTTTCTCCGCGGTCAATGTCTTCATTTTGCAGCGCCCCCCCTTTTCAAAATTCTTAGATCTGCCCCTGATATCTGAAGAACAGTTTATGTTAAAACTTTGCCCTACAGTACCGGTACACATGTATATGTACTTTTGAACACGATTGACCTATTTCTATCAATCAATTAAAATTTTAGTGTCAATTTCATAATCAAAGTGTACATACATTTATTTTTTGATATGACTAATTCATTCCATTATTTAAATAAACTTATTATTTATAAAACTGTCAATATGTGATCCATTAAATATGTTGATTTTGTAATGTAATATATATGATATACCAGGTCGAAATTTGTACCGTAGTCCAATATGAAATCTTACCGTCCATTCTAATACGAAATACATGTACAATCCACTATGAGAATATATGGCTCAAAATAAACTTATATAGAATATCTGTAACCTTATCAAATACAATCCACTATGAGAATATATAAACATAGATCTATCTGTAAGCTTATAATAAAATAGAATTTGTTCAGGTTGATATAATCTAAGATTATTAACACCTGTACAGATGATTGACCTGTTATTTTACTTTCTAAGTTTACAAAGAGTATATAAACAAGTTGTTTTTGAGTTCCTTCTTTATCTTATTATATAAGTAAACTACAATGTATGTGGATGATAGAATGTTCAATTGAATAGTATACACACTTACGTATGTACTTACATATGTACCACTCTATTAACTTAACCCAGAGCTAAATTAATGAGCCACTTACATCATTTTTGTAATAGCTTACAATATCATGATATCAAATAATATATTGATCTACATGTATTGATAATTTGAATTACGTGTACAGATACTTGTAGGTCTAATGGGTTTTCCGATGCAATTAAGGTTGTTTACAATGACTACACAAGGTAGTACTCAATTTGAATAGTATCGACTTTCATCGATTTGAGGTACTGGTACTGGGTATCTGAATATTTCCCGTTCTAAATACATTCTTTTTTGCACCAACAGGCCTAATGTAAACGAGTAGGCCACTCACATGTGCTGTTATGGAAAAAATTTAACCTAACAGTGGTGCTATGGATATAATAATAATAAATAATTTATTTCAAAATATGGACATCATTTTAGTCATTAAAGGAGCTAACCCTCTAACTCAATATTTTCCATAAAATTAAAAATTAAAAACATGAAATAGAATTCAAAATTGGTCCATTTCAATCAATAATGATGTTGCTATCTTGCTATGAAAATATGTGATTCTAATAGTAATATCCAATATTTAAGACATAATGAACATTTTAAAATCAATACACGAGTCATAGTATTCTATCTACATGGTTTTGTGTGCCATTTGTAATGAGCAATTCAACAAATAAAAACATATCCTACATGACAATGCAGAAATAATTAGGAATAGCTGATTCACAAACAACAAAATAATAATATAAAACTGGGGTGAACAACTGCTGTTCAATTTGCACTGTTCACATACTTCACTGAACATAATTGATTAGGAATTATAATAAATAATTTAAAAAATAAATTTAAATCACTTAAAATACATTCATATTACTTCAATATTTCCTTTTAAACCCCAGTAAATCCAACTTCATTTCCTTTTTTTTTAGATTCGTATGAAAGGTGCCAAAGAATAGAGCCACATAGCTAAAAACGTTGAGATATACTGATGTGTTTGTTTTCAGCTACAATTGGATGCCTTTAGTTCCAAGTGGCAAACTCAATTTCTTTATTAATGCATGTAACATCTTTAAAATAGATAAGTTTATGATATTATGATTAATTAAACTTACAGGGGCCAATGTAGTGGCACAACTGTCGCCTAACTCCAAATATTCGCGTTTAAATTAATGAAGCGTTGTTTTTGTCTGACATTTCACCGCCATCGAAATCCATTCATAGTTACTGTGCTTTTGATTGTCCTTTTGATTGGCTGTTATAAAAGCCTTATATTTAGCCCCTCCTTCATGATGACAGCGTATCGTTTATAAAGATGGCGGTCTTAGTAATGGCTTAACGCCTCGATTTTAAAAACGACGATTTGTACCCGTTTCAGGTAGGATTATATGCTTAATTGTAGTTGGGTGTTGTAGAAATATTGTAAATAACAATAATCAGTCGTTTTGATTAAAACTATTGTCAATTTTGTTTAAAAATGCCGGGTGTGAATCGCTTCCGCAGCTGCAACGTTATAGGTAATGGGCTCATGTCTTATCTCGAAACACGGAGGGTTGAGAGATTAAGGTTCGTTATCTAATTACCAATATGAGTCATGCGCCTATTCGATCGGCAAACATTTTAGCAGCAAATCTTAGAATCTATAATCTTGGCGGCCTCTAATAAATATTATCATTATTATTATAATTATGATTTTACTCCTGACATAGCCAGGAAGATTCAAATTGAACTTTTGGTAATCATCATCTTGGCCATGGCATGGGTTGACTCGCTCTGTTTATCACTTCGACACTTGTGTTATATTATGAAAATTTCATAACATGGTATAGAATTAATGATATATTTTTTTCTAGTACAGAAACTAAACAAAATAAAAACATAAAATTACCTTCTCCGCTCATCTTGACCCTTCTTTTAGCTTCTATTCCGTATTCAATAACAATAACTTAGACTGGCCAAAATACTAGGGAAATATAACCTATTCTTAAAATAGCATCAGCGTAACTTCCGGTAAGTCGTTTCGTGTACGGTAACATGAAAATCGAAAGATTTTAAAGTCGTTTCGTTCACTTTTAAGGGCCAAGGAACCCGACCACCACTAATTAGGCTTGCATAAAAAGGCGTCTTTTATATTCATTTATTTGTTTTTGTTTTTTTGGTTTATAGACAATATTGAGAATTGAATAGAAACTTATGTTCTATTTATGCATGGAGCATGTAAATGAGATGGCCGAATGGTTAACACTGCACGCTGTATCATAAAGCCTGTGATTGAGTCAACTGGCATGGTTTCGAATCCCAGGTTGTACATGTCAAGGAGTAGGGTCGCCTGTCCAACCTTGTGGGTTTTCTCCGGGTCCACGCCACTGCTAAAGACCCCTATACGCGCAAGCGAATTATTGAAATAAAATTAAACCATATGTTAGTCCCGAAATAACCTAGTGTTAAACCCCATTTCTCTCTCTCTCTCTCTCTCCTCTTTCTCTCTCAAAATTCAATCTCCTAGCAAGTGATTTCGTGCAATACACAAGTTAAGTCCCTTGGCTACAACTTCCAAACTTGCTTGAAAATGACATTTTGAAGGGCAATTTTGACACATAAACTCGATTTTCATTAAAAAATGACAATTTGGCATAAAGAACAATATATAATCAAATACTGAAATAGATTTAAATTGTGATATCAGTTGATATAATAGTGGATTTGGTTATATTCCAAACGTACTTTGAAATTGCATTTTAAGGGGCCTTTTGACACAAAAAATGTTACTATTTGAAATTAAAAATGACAATATGGTATAAAGAATGGTATATTATCAAATATCGATGTAAATTCAGTTGAAATAATGTGGGAATTTGATAGATTTGGGTGGATGAAGGTAAATTGTGCTTCTCCATTTTAAGGGGCCGTTTGACACAAAAAAACGTTACTATTTTAATTTAAAAATGACAATTAGGTATAAAGAATGGTATATTATAAAATATCGATATACATTATTGTGATATAAAGAGTTGAAATTAATGTCAGATTTGGGTAAATCGTGTTACCCCAGGTTCATGGGGTCCCTGTTGTATTCCAAGTTTAAATAAATGCAAATAATTGTCAAAAGAAATGGCATACAGTATATTTACCTTGTCTGAAACTTTTTGCTCCAAATATTGCAGCATTTAAAAATTGATTTTCATATAACAGATTATAGGAGTTAGGTAGGGTACTAATACTTATAGTGCATGCCACCCCACCCCCACTGTTTATATGCCTGTTTAGGTCTCTAAATTCTCTTCTTATATGCTATACATAGTGTTATACAATAGGCCTACTGACAAGCCAGCTTCTGCCCGGAGTATGGGACCATTACCTGTTGCTAGCTGATCAATTTGCAATTTCGTTATATTTAAAGGACAATGTCAGTGCCCTCCAATTTACATAATAGAACTGGTTAAACACATTCCAAATGTATGTTTTAACATCAAAAATTAGAGATCTTTGCACTATATGGTTGATAATTAACAGTGATTAGAAGAATTCGGAGTGGCACAAATTAAGGAAATCAGTTATTGCTACTAAATAAAGGCCAACAGAAAGCGGTAACCGCTACACACACCATTTTCAGCTAACTGATATCTTAAAGATGTACTGTTGGAGATTCATTCAAGAAATATACCCTGGATCCAACCCTTATATTACTATATTGTCAATAATATACTATTCAAAAAAAGTAGGGGATATTTGATTTTGGGGGCATAATACTAAAATATGCAAATGACTACGAAAAAAGTCACTATAGAACCTAACAGAAGAAACATTTCCAGTTACATGTGACGCCCAAACGCACCAATAGCTACCGCACGGAATGCAGGTGATGCTTGGGATCATCATGGGGGTCCAACCCAAGATTTGCACGACTCTGACTTTGAATGTTACAGTCATTGTGGAATTGAATTCCAGGTTGGAAACATCAGTTTAATTGTTTTAGTGACCAGAAAACAAATTTTGATATGCGTCGGCTTACCCAAAATGAAAGGTTACGTGCCCTTGTCATGCTACAGATCGGCACAACACAGGCGGTTGTGGCGCGGACGATGAATGTTTCTCAGTCTGTCATAAGCAGGCTATGGTCCAGATACCGTGATACACAATCTGTACAGGACAGACCACGCTCAGGTCGACCAAGGGCGACAACTCAAGCCCAGGATCGATTTATCCGTACCTTGGCCTTGAGAAATCATGTCATCACAGCAAATCAGATCAGCGCTCGTCTTCAAACAGACACTGGTGTGAGAGTGAGTGGCCAGACGATTCGGAATCGACTGCATAGGGGTCACCTTCGCGCCCGACGTCCTCGCGTGATCCCTTGTTTGAGAGACCATCACATTCAGGCAAGACGTCGTTGGTGTAGGGATCGTCAACACTGGGATAATCGACGCTGGAGCAATGTGATGTTTTCAGATGAGTCAAGGTTCACTGTTGATTTTTTGGACAGACGTAGGAGGGTGTGGCGTCGTCGAAACGAGCGCTTCCAAGACGTTAACGTCATCAGACATGATCGATTTGGGGGTGGTTCTGTTATGGTGTGGGGAGGCATCACTGTTGCTGGAAGAACGGCTTTACATGTTGTTTCAGGGCGTGTTACAGGCCAGTACTACCGGGACAACATCTTGGCAGTCCATGTTGTGCCGTTAGCACGACGTCATGGCCGCCGTTTCATCTTCCAGGATGACAACGCAAGATGTCACAGGGCCAGGATCGTTACAGGTTACCTCCAACAACAGAACATCACCACATTACCTTGGCCAGCACTGAGTCCCGACCTCTCCCCCATCGAGCATGTCTGGGACATGCTTGGACAGAGGTTACGTCAACGTCAACAACGTCCTGCCAATGTCCAAGAACTTGCTGCTGCGTTGCAACAGGAATGGGACAATCTGGACCAAAATGACCTTAGACGTCTCATTAGGAGTATGCCACGTCGGATCAATGCTTGTTTGGCAAACAGAGGAGGATTTACCCGTTACTGACTTGGTTGTGATGCTGTGGTAACTTTGCTGTTTGACCCCGGGTATCATTTTACCCTTATAATGGTCAGTCTGTGCCTTACTTAGTCTAACGATCATTTGGAATAAATCGATGAATGTGAACTTCATTTCATTTTGTCATTTGTTTCTTCGTCAGTTTCATTAGGTGACTTTAATAACACTTAAAAATCAAATATCCCCTACTTTTTTTGAATAGTATAGGATGGTCTAGTATTGGTTGCCAGAGAAATAAAAGGTCTTTTACAAATATTTATTTACAAAATAAATACACATCCAGGAAACAGATATAAAATTTAACAAATCATATCAACTGATTAAAATTAGCCATATTGACAGATTAAAATTAGCCATATCAAATAATTAATGAAACGCTTACTGTAGTATACCAAAGCATATATCGTAATAATTTTAATTTATGGCATATCTATTTTATATAGATACGGTAATGTTATAAATGGCTATGATAAATTATATGCAATACTGTGACATAAATCTCTTTGTAGTACAAAATATAACATGTACTATATTACGATACAAATGTACTAGATATGTATGGTTGTATTCATTATTGATCATTGCTTGATAAAGATACCTGTATGGCTAAGAGAATTGAAACGTTGCATGTAATAAAAAAAGTTGTGTTGTTGTGAATGTCATACATCTACTTCTAAATGTCATTCAAGGATAAATCAATGATAAGATTTAACATGTTTTTTGAAGTATGAAATAAGAAAAGTATTTGCCGCAAAAATACATATCTGTTGATTATCTTCAGTAGAAGTAGTCATCCAACTTATTTCAAGTAGACCCTAAAGCAGATATTCAACATTTCATTGAACAATTCCACAATTGAACAATATCAATGCCAGATTAACCATGGTAGGGGCCCTGGGGCAGTATTATTCCACACATATGAATGTAACCACATCAAACCGAATTTGAAGTCGGTCGATGATAAATAACAGTGACACCTTGATATGGAGAGTAATATCCGCGAAGACTGTAACGTTACCGACTGCTAAATAAACAAAAAAAAAAGAAACACGGAAACCAGTCAGAAGTATGACGCGACAACATTGGATTACACCAAATTCTCGGATGTCAACTGCGACACGGGCCCACCATGGATTGAAGGGGCCTAAATGTCCAATGGAGGTCCCCATCACAGCCACTAGCAGATGGAATCACAGTCCGACAATCCTCACATTGATTTTTGTGCAACTGAGATTTAGCTGATTTGTTTCCTCAAAAAATGTTGTTTAATAGAACAGATTTAGATTTTATATACATATATCATATATGATTAGAAATAAACATGATGCGAGTAAATTATTATCATTTAATCAATGAATCTATCTGTCAACCTCCAAATTTTATTTTGGTTTGAGAAATATTGATTTCGTTAACATAGAGTAAATACAGGGTGTTTGTTTTTTACGATCATATTCTGGAATATTACTGTTAGACTGATAATTATATGCAACTAGATAAACAACTTTTGTTAACAGCTTATTTATAGAAGTTCTGTTCTTCTCTGTCACATTTCCCAACACATTAGTTAAAGCTGTAATAAACCAGGATCCCTCTTTTTGTCTTCGAAATGCATGAAATCCTGAAAAAAAATATAATATGTAATATGAAAACATAGATTAATAAATTCTAGCAAAAAGGCTGTAACTTGATAAAACAGTTGGCTGTATTAAGTGTTAGTAAATGTTTTTCTTTTGGCCATGTACTGTACTGTTAAATTAAATAAGACCGATAGTTCACATATAACTCAAAAATTAAAACATATCTGATTGTCAGGGGCAGATACAGAAATGAAATGGGGTATAACGTCTTACTGTTCTACATCGACTGGACCTTAATGGTCGATAAATAAATGAAGAATAAGGATATTGAAAGTCTATTCAGAATATAATATAATGATAATATTATAAACAGTGTTTATCCCATTGAGTTATACATGGTTAATCCCAAGAGTCGATCCTATTGTAGTGAGGACATATGATGTCTCCCACCCTTCCTTCACCCCAACAATATCCATGTCTGCTATTGTTAAGATCAGGTTATTATGTAATTAAGCACATCCACGTATACAAAAACCTTCATAAAGTGATGCACAGTTTTGATTTTTGACCCATATGTCTCATTCAGCCTGAGTTTGTCCTATTTATTTTCTGTATATAAAAATTATAAACAAATTTACCTGGAGGTGTGGCATACATCACAATAAAATCTTTCATGCAAGGAAATGGATTAGTAATAACTCTTTGAGAAACTCGAATCCCGAATGCTGCATTATATTCAGGGACACCATCAACCACTTCCATGGATGACACATCTGTTCCACCTATGTTCATTCCAGGGTCCAAATCATAACCTCTACATGCCTTGAAAGAAATTATAAACAACAAAACATAAGTCCACATCAGCTTTGTTCACTGAGGGGTGGGGGGGGGGGCAATGGTTAACGCATGCAGATTTCATCACAAGGTCTGTCATTGACTCAAGTGGCGTGTTTTCGATACCTTACATGCAAGTGACAAGGAGTGGGGTCGTCTGTCCAACCTCATAGGTTTCCCCCCGGGTTCTCTGGTTTCCTCCCACTGCTAAAGACCCCTACGCGCTAGTAGAGAATTATTGAAATAAAATTGAACCATATGTTAGTAGCGAAATGGACCTTGTTTGGGTTGAGTGGATATTAAACGGTTTAACTTAAACCCCATTTCTCTCTCCCTCTTGTTCACTAAGCCATTTTAAAAATTGATACCTTTCCATTTCTTTACAAAATCTATTATTAACCATATATTTAATATACAAAATGACTAAGCTAAATTGCAGAAATGACTGAAAGATTCAATAATGAAATTAAACAAAATTGGGTTTAACTTCTTACTTTTCTGGACCAACTGGAAAAAATAAAGATGGGCATATGCCATACAGGATGCTATGTTTTTTTCATGCCATCCAAATGATTAAATACTTTCTTGTCAGGCCCTCCGTCCTGCACCACTAACAAGAGGAAACCACACGGAAAAAATTTATTGCAATCATCTCAGTCAACACCAGGATCAAAACCCAGAACCTCTTGGTTAAAGAGGCAGCCTCTTACTCAAAGAGCCACCGCTGCTTCCAAATTCAATTATCATGGTTTTAAGATAAGATGCTTTGTTTTCAAGTCTGTGGCACTCATTGCCTGATAACTTAGAACATGGGACAAACAGTGTCAAGTTTTTCTATTTATTAAATTAGATTAGAAGTCACTATGAATGAATGGGAAGGATTTAGTTTTGTAATCAATATATTTGGAGTAACATTACATCATCCTACCTGTATAAAACATAATCGAGGTTTATCTTTTAAACCCGGACAATTAGCATCCGAAAAAATATTGAGAACATCACAAGTAGGAATAAACGTGTCAGTGCAGTTTAAAACATCTTGGTTTATTATTACTGTATTGTTTTTTCCTTCAATAACATCACCATGTGAACTGATAGCTAACACAAAACAGTCAAAATCAGGTTCTTTCGTCATTTCATTGGCAACTGTAAAAAAAAGGAAAAAGCAATGAATTATTACTAATGCATCAAGTAAAAATTTATGCATGACATAGACTAACCTCTGTGACCATAGGCATACGGACCGATTTTACTCGAGGGGGAGGGGGGAGGTATCATTTTTGCCCGAAAAATATGGCGTCAGTGTCTGAAAATTGAAACTAAATGTTATGTAAATGCTATACAGGACAAAGCTGTTCATGGAATTTCTTACAGTAGGCTGGGATTGCTCATTAAGCTATTCAAAATTTAACGTTCTACTGTTCTGTTCTGTCAAATGTTTGGACCATAATTTGGAATGTGATTTGCAGAGTTATATTTCTGTATACCAGTATTGTGAAAGAAATCCATAAACACTTGAATAAATTGTTTCTTGAATATAAATTCCAACTACTATGCGTTCTTTTATGTAAAAATGATATGAAATGGGGTTTATCATCCTACTTTTTTTTACCTCAACTAAGCTAATTAAGTGGGGGGGGGGGGGTCTTTTATGTGCATGGCAATATGCATGTACACCATGGCTTCCATGTCGGTAATATATGCCGGTCAAGATCGAGGTCTATAGAAAATGACCGAAACTACCGGTAGATCTGGCCTATCGGTCATTTTTGCACGCCTGAAAAATAGCGTATTTTTCAAAACCCAATTTTCAAACATGGCTCAGATCGACCTCCGCTATTTAACACTGTACACAGATGTAGTTTTTCTGTGTCATCCAAATGTTCAAATTTATGAGCAACTATAAATAAATCTGGGTGTTAAAAAAAAAATAATGTCAAGGTCTTTACCTTGTCGTAAGTACTTTACTGTTTCATACTTGGTCACATTAACCATAATTCTAGTATCAAAACCCAGTTTATTAAAACATGCTTCTAGCTTGATCGTATCATTTTCAGATCCTTTTCTATATATTAAATTGCCATCCTCAAAAGTATCATTGTTGATTATAAGGGCTATACCCCGTCGTTTATGCGTAAAGTCATACTCTTCACCGTAATTAAAAGGTTTGGCTTGAGGTCCTTGACTACTGAAAAATGCAATGAAAAAATAGTGAAATTATGCTATAATAAAGCAAAGACATTGGTTTTTCAGGCTCCTTAATACACAATTTTATGTTTCAGAGTTATCTTTAAGAATTAAGAAGAAACGTAAATAAGACCTCGTTTGACTAACAATGTTATAAATATAAATGTAAAAAGACGTAGTTCCACACTTGAAACCAAAAATTTATAAATTCCCCAAATCAAAAATGTTAACAGGACATACAATTATGTCTTAAACATCAAAAGTAGGTTTACTGCATATTAGATGATTATTATTGGTACTTACAAATGACTTGGTTGTATGTAGTTTCGTGATGGACCAACCTCTTGGCAAATGTCATGACGCCTATCTTAAAAAACAATTCCAAAGATTAGGCAAGGAAACTATAGTGCTTGTATTCACAGCACAGCAGTTAGAAACTCATTAAAAATAGACATGTAATTTAAATTGAATTTACCATACATGTACATATTCCGAGAAAACCCACGAGGTTGGACAGTCAATTCTACTCCTACTACTTGTCAGTTGTCACGTACAACCAGGGAATCAAAACCATGCCAGTTGACTCAATGACAGACCTTAAGATACAGCGCGCACTTACTAACCATCTGGCCATCCAACCTCCCCTTTACACGAAAACAAATCTGTTTCGATTAACTATCTCATTTTGTACATGACGTATGTTTCGAGTTGGTATTTGAATCAGTTCTCGTAACGCGACAAGTTGCCTCGCAAGATGGCTGAAGACTGAAGAATTGAGGAACAAGATTTTCAAAAGAGGTCAAGGGTAATAACTTTGGCATTAATTATCGGAAATAGTTTAAAATCAATAGGATTTTTCATCTCATGACCTTAAACGGTGTGTATAGATTTAAAATCAATCGGATATTAACTTTAGCGTCTAGAGCTACTGCAAGCAGTAATTATTGGAAATCGTTGAAAATGATTAGATTTATTTGTCTCATGAAATGAAATGGAGTTTAACGTCCTACTGTTTTGCTCCAAACTGGGCTAATGAAAACGGGCATATGCCATATAGTGTGCTATGAGGGAAATTTTGCCCGGACAGCCGCACTACGGCCTACTCTTATATTGAATTCCAACTGTCAAGGGATCTTTTACGTGCACGTTAATGTGTACACGGGACCTCAGTTTTTTCATCTCATCCAAATGACTAGACAGCCGTCCTTGTCAGGCCCTCCGTCCTGCATCAGTGACAAGGGGGTACCACGAAGGAAAATCTGGATGAACACTTGACCTCCAGGCTAGCGAGCCAGCGTCTTACCCACTGTGACCCCTATTTGTCTCATGACCTTAAACACTGTGTATAAATATAATGTCAATCAGATATAAACTTTAGCCTCTAATGAATTCTCAAAGAAGTCAAGGGTCATAACTCTGGCAGGAATTATTGGAAATCACTGAAAATCAATAGGCTTTTTCGTCTCATGACCTTAAACACTATGTATAAATCTAAAGTCAATCGGATATTAACTTTAGTCTCTAGAGCCCTCCGGACGAACGGGGGTAACAACAATATATGATCACATTTCAATGTGGGCGGATAAAAATTGTGACCTCTAGAGGACCACAAACTAAGAACGCGATTTTTCATACAATCAGGGACCATAATCCAGGAAGTTACATTCCGATATGTGCGACTATAGAAAGGAACTGAGATTTTTGGGTTATAAACATACATTTCATGTTTCATCAAAATTGGATAAAAAAATTGTGACCTAGAGTGGTCCACAAGCTGAAAATGGGATTTTGAGTATAATCAAAGGCCATAATCCAAGAAGTTGTGGTCAATCCAGTACATGGCAATTGGCAATATCGAAAGGAACTGAGATCTTTAGGATATGAACCTATATTTCAAGTTTCGTCAAAATCGGATTAAAATTGTGACCTGTAGGAGAGAGAGAGAGAAATGGGGTTTAACGTCCACTAGACACAAACTAGGTCATTTCGGGACTAACATATGGTTTGATTTAATTTCAATAATTCGCTTGCGCGTAGGAGTCTTTAGCAGTGGGAGGAAACCAGACGCAGAGGACCCGGAGAAAACCCACGAGGTTGGACAGGCGACCCAACTCCTTGTCACGTACAACCGGGGATTCGAAACCACGCCAGTAGACTCAATGACAGGCTTTATGATACAGCGCGCACGTGCTAACCATTCAGCCATCCAACCCCCGTGACCTGTAGGCCTATAGAGTTGTACGTCCATAAACAAATTGTGGACAAATGGATGAACAGGGGCTAAGACAATATAAGTCCACAAGAAATTGTGGGCGTATAAAAATGAAAAGTTATTGATTTGGCAGAATTTTGGTTTGAGGTCATCGGTGGTTTCCTTTAACATCCACTGAAGTGAAACTTTCAACATATTTCAAGTCTCTACAACAATGTGAATTGGTAGTGGTACGTTAATGAAATAGAATAGAGAGAGAGAGAAAAATGGGGTTTAACGTCCACTCAACACAAACTAGGTCATTTCGGGACTAACATATGGTTTAATTTTATTTACATAATGCGCTCGCGCGTAGAGGTCTTTAGCAGTGGGAGGAAACCGGAGGCCCCGGAGAAAACCCACGAGGTTGGACAGGCGACCCTACTCCTTGCCACGTACAACCGGGGACTCGAAACCACGCCAGTCGACTCAATGACAGACTTTATGATACAGCGTGCGCACGCTAACCATTCAGCCATCCAACCCCCCAAATAGAATATAGAATAGAACCAACATATTTGTATTTCAACAATTGGGTCATATTACATTGAAATGGAACAGAAATGTCAAAATCCATCTTGCTATTAACTGACCAAACATTATTTAGTGTAAGACCTACTACTGAGTACTACTAGTACTCGTGGTATCGGTCAGATCAGCCAATGAACAATGCCCGGTAACCTACCGGACAGGTGCCGTCACTATAATTTTTTTCAAAATCTTTAGAGAGAGAGAGAGAGAGAAATGGGGTTTAACGTCCACTCGACACAACTAGGTCATTTCGGGACTAACATATGGTTTAATTTTATTTCAATAATTCGCTTGCGCGTAGAGGTCTTTAGCAGTGGGAGGAAACCGGAGTGCCCTGAGGAAACCCACGAGGTTGAGAAGGCGCCCCTATCTCCATGCCACATACGCTCACACCAGGGCTCGAAACCACAGCCGCAAGCCAGAGGTGACCGGCCAGCCAGAGGTCGAAGCGCGGCACTCTAGAGCACTAAGCCATCCCAACCCCCCCAAAATCTTTAGAACTTACTTGTGTAATCCATGTTGATTAAATTCTTTATGAGCAGTCTCTCTCCCTTTTTAAAAAAAAAACAACCCAACTAAGGAAAGAAAACTACGCCGTAGACTAGAGTCTAGAAATAGGGTATTCTTGGAAAAGGGAATTCCCGTCCATATCTATAAATAGAAATAACCGTGCCCAACCAACATGAACTACCGGTATACACAACGCATCAAAAATAAATGCACCTTTTGCACAGGTCTGGTAGAGATTCTGAATTTGTATCAGCGACAGAAGGTGCGCATAATAGTAAGTGCCTGTGCATAATTATAATGGCGTTTAAACTTTAATAATAAACATCCTGCGTGCTCTCTCAACATGAACCAGGAAACCAACCGACACAGTGGATGTTAATGATAAGACGTGGTATGATTGGATATAATAAAAGGTCAAGTAGATACTTTACTTCCTGTAACCTTGAACCGAGGTTAATTTACCATTCATTTGAAGCTATCTGCTTTTCATCATTTTTATGAATTTGACAAATACAAGTTTTATCTAAAATAACATAAATATGAGTTGCAGACTTTTAGAAAAGATGAAGGTAAATTAGTCACAACTCCCAGATCTATCACAAAACATAATGTTGCTTTACTCATTACTGTCATAATGAATTGAATTGGATTTGAGTTGGGAGTAGTTCCTTTTTTAGTAGGAACTGTCTCTCAGCGGACTCGCTGACAGTTCCTATCGGGCCCTGTCCTATAGTTGCAATATGAAAATACCGCTCTTCTCCACCTCTGTTCTAAGGTAATTTTAGAATCCTTACCTACTATTTTTCACCTTGATTCTACTTTATTCGCCAAAGGGATCATTTCTTGCCACAGCAGTGCAGACGAATGCATGACCACTCGGACCAATTGATAGACCACTCGGACCAAACAAAAAGACTACTCGGACCATACAAAAAGACTACTCGGACCAAACAAAAAGACAACTCGGACTACTCGGACCAAACAAAGAGACAACTCGGACCAATAATAAAGTTTTGTTTTAATAAAGTGTGTTTGTTTTAATATGACAACTCGGACCAATATAAATTGTTGTTTTAATAAATTGTGTTTATTTTAATATGACTACTCGGACTGCTAATATATTGTTGTTTTAATTAATTGTGTTTGTTTTAATATGACTACTACTACTCGGATCACTAATAAATTGTTGTTTTAATAAATTGTGTTTGTTTTAATATGAAAATTATAAGTGTTATAAGTACTTACCCGTGGTATTTGATCATAATGAAGCACATGCAAGAAGATTAATTAACAAAACAACGATAAATGAGTAGTGATTAATACATTAGTATGTGTTGATAATGTACTCACCCATGTTACAAGGTAATTAAGTAGATGAAGCACATGAAAGAAAATGTGTGCTATGACATGAGGGCAATTTTGATAGAAAATTGATTCATTTTAATTGGTGTGATTGGAGTAATGTCCAAGCGCTTAAATTGTATATAAACAATTAAAAAAAATATATTTCTTTATCATTTGTCAAAATGTCTGATACGTGTATAGTTTGCGATTCTTTAGTTCGACCAAGGCAGGAGGCTGTACTGTGTGACGGGTGTGAAAGATGGCAGCATAGAACCTGTAATACTGGTATGTACATTTAATTGCTTACAAATCTAGACAATGCAGTCGCCGTTGAAGACATTAGATTTTTACTAAATTACATGTAATTGCCTAATACAAATCTCGGCAACGTAATCGCAGTTGGTAAAATAAATTTCATTAGTAAATTAGTAACATAAATTTCATTAGTAAATTAGTAATATAAATTTCATTAGTAAATTAGTAATATAAATTATATTTTATATTTTAGGTTGCTTACAATCAATGAGATTCCATTTATAAGTTCTTTAGAAAGCTCCTTGCGCCTTGCCATTTTTGCCATCGGAGCATATTTTGCCGGCTTTTAGAAAACTGGAGGAAAAGGCCGACAACGAACAAATTAGATCGATTTGGAAACTTTACAATGAAGAAGCAATCAGCACAAGCCAACTATTAAAGAAATGTGGGTTAATTTACGGTCCCAGCGAAAAGGTCACTAGACATATCACGGGAGTATATCAAAAACTATAAAAAAAAAAAAAAAAAAAAATTTTTTTAATAAATTGTTGATGTAATAAATATGAATATGCTACTTACCTGTACCATATGTCACGGGCATATTAAAAATAAAAAACTATTTTATAAATTGTTGATGTAATAAATATGAATATGCTACTTACCTGTACCATATGTCACGGGCATATTAAAAATAAAAAACTATTTTATAAATTGTTGATGTAATAAATATGAATATGCTACTTACCTGTACCATATGTCACGGGCATATTAAAAATAAAAAACTATTTTATAAATTGTTGATGTAATAAATATGAATATTTGCTCTTATGTAAGGAATGATGACATTTTTAAATTATGTATAGATTCACCTATAAATTATTCGCTTCCTTGTATTGTTTTTTTTAATAAATAATATTTATTTAATTTAAAATATTGGTCCGAGTGGTCTTCCAACATAAAGTGAATAATTGTGGGTCTACACAGGACTTGATTAGCCAAGTTGGAGCAGAACAGTAGAACGTTAAACCCCATTTCATTTCATTCCTATCCCATCCAAAAGACTAGGCACTGTTCCTTGACCTTTCTAGGACCTCCGTCCTGCATCACTGACAAGGGGAAAACATGCCTGAAAATCCCAAGATATATTGGGAACCTGCGCTGCGTTTTACTGAACTCACTCAGCCAAAGTGGCTTCCAACTTAGTTCCTTTAGGAACTGTCTCTGAGTGGATGCTGTCCACTGATAGTTCCTATTCGACTCTATATAGCTGCAATATGAAAATACGGTAAAATACCGCACTTCCCCACCTCAGGCTGTTTTAGAACCCTAACCTTTTATTTTTCACTGGGATTCTTTATTTTCCGCCAAAAGGAATCATTTCTCACTGTATTTGACACAATTTTATAATAATTCAACACCATTTTCAAGTAGAATTTAGCGATGAAATAAACATGCGGTTTGCGCATGTTCGAGTCTCGTAATGGCTGATCAGTTCAAACTATTTTGTGTATGTTTTTAATCGCAGAATTCTACTTGAAAATAGTGTTGAATAATTATAACTTATAAGGGATGTAGTCATAACGGCCAAAAACAGGTTTGGTCAAAACGGCCAAACAGTTTGGTTATAACGGCCCAAAAATTTGGTCATAACGGCCAAAACATTTGGTCATAACGGCCAAACATTTTTAATTTAATGAAAAACAATATCTGAGCAAATATTATTGTTGTTTGTTGTTGTTTATTAAAACGTCCAATACATTAGATCTGATATTATGGACAGGTTGATTTAATTAAATTATTTACACTTAATTGGTTGAAAATTGGTAAAAACATACAATACAATCGTCCGTGTATATCAAAAGTATCGTTAAAATTGGTTAACACACAAAATAAAAAGACCTTGTATATTAAAAAGTCAATTTAAAGCACACTTATAAAATCGCTGTCGTTAGAAGAGAGGGCGGTCATCTTCTCCCTTTGGCTTTGATATAATGAGAACACGTTAAAACAGGAGGTTCAGTTGAATGATGTTTGGCACCATCAGTGCAGATAGAAAAAAATGCTTGTGTTATGTGGATGACATAAGTCACTCAAGAGCTGTGGATATTGCCTTTAATTCTGCGGTATGGATTTCATGGTCCAGTAGTGTAAAGGAGATATACAATGTAATATCTATATGTATTTTTTTTTTTAATGTATTAAATTAATGTTTATGTAATTATGTATTTATATTATCTATTATGCAATAAATGGGGTTTTTTTTATGTATTAAATTAATGTTTATGTAATGTATGTATTTATATTATCTATTAAGTATTACGCAATATTTTTGTTAATAAATATCATTTTCTACATATAAAAAATGGTTTTGTTTTTTTTTGGCCCTCGTGACCAAATTGTTTGGCCGTATCAACCAATTTTTGGGACCGTTTCGACTAAATTTTTGGGCCCTTATGACCAAATTTTTTGGCTGTTATGTCTATAAATGTGTCTGCAGGGTACCCGGACCACTCGGACCAAAGACCACTCGGACCAAGACCAGTCGGACCAAAACGGACACCACAAGGACCAAAACGGAGACCACTCGGACCAACCTAAAAGACCACTCGGACCAACCTAAAAGACCACTCGGACCAACCTAAAAGACCACTTGGACCAACCCAAAAGACCACTCGGACCAATTTATTTATGTTGGAAGACCACTCGGACCAATATTTATGTTGCCTCTCGGACCAATTATTCACTTTATGCCTCTTAGACCAATTCATTTATGTTGGGAAGACCACTCGGACCAATATTTATGTTGCCTCTCGGACCAATTAATTTATTTTGGAAGACCACTCGGACCAACCCAACGCTTCTCGATCCAATTATTCACTTTATGTTGGAAGACCAACCTAAAAGACCACTTGGACCAACCCAAAAGACCACTCGGACCAATTTATTTATGTTGGAAGACCACTCGGACCAATATTTATGTTGCCCCTCGGACCAATTAATTTATTTTGGAAGACCTCTCGGACCAACCCAAAGGATCGCTTCTCGATCCAATTATTCACTTTATGTTGGAAGACCACTCGGACCAATATTTTAAATTAAATAAATATTATTTATTAAAAAAAAACAGTACAAAGAAGCGAATAATTTATAGGTGAATCAATACATAATTTAAAAATGTCATCATTCCTTACATAAGAGCAAATATTCATATTTATTACATCAACAATTTATAAAATAGTTTTTTTATTTTTAATATGCCCGTGACATATGGTACAGGTAAGTAGCATATTCATATTTATTACATCAACAATTTATTAAAAAAATTTTTTTTTTTTTTTTTTTTTTTTTTAGTTTCTGATATGCCCGTGATATGTCTAGTGACCTATTCGCTGGGACCGTAAATTAACCCACATTTCTTTAATAGTTGGCTTGTGCTGATTGCTTCTTCATTGTAAAGTTTCCAAATCGCAAAAAGTTTTCCCTGTATTGAACGGGTCCGTTTTTTTAGTGTCTTTTTAATTTCCCTTCTGATATCATTTTCATCTGTTGAGGGAGTTGGCTGGCTTCTTTGTAAAGTAGACTTGTCAATAAATAAAATTGTAGATTTCCTTTTTTTGCTTTCTGGTTGATACGATTATGCCACCCTTCGACATAGTTGTTGGTCCTGATGGTAAGGCCGAACACACACCACAACAAAATTGGCCACACAGTATTTTCTATCCAAGTGTCTTTCACGTAATTTAACACCGATCTAATTTGTTCGTTGTCGGCCTTTTCCTCCAGTTTTCTAAAAGCCGGCAAAATATGCTCCGATGGCAAAAATGGCGAGGCAAGGAGCTTTCTAAAGAACTTATAAATGGAATCTCGTTGATTGTAAGCAACCTAAAATATAAAATATAATTTATATTACTAATTTACTAATGAAATTTATATTACTAATTTACTAATGAAATTTATGTTACTAATTTACTAATGAAATTTATTTTACCAACTGCGATTACGTTGCCGAGATTTGTATTAGGCAATTACATGTAATTTAGTAAAAATCTAATGTCTTCAACGGCGACTGCATTGTCTAGATTTGTAAGCAATTAAATGTACATACCAGTATTACAGGTTCTATGCTGCCATCTTTCACACCCGTTACACAGTACAGCCTCCTGCCTTGGTCGAACTAAAGAATCGCAAACTATACACGTATCAGACATTTTGACAAATGATAATAAAATATATATTTTACATGTTTATATACAATTTAAGCGCTTGGACATTACTCCAATCACACCAATTAAAATGAATCAATTTTCTATCAAAATTGCCCTCATGTCATAGCACACTGCATGTCTGTCATCAATTAGCCCAGAGTCGGTTAAACCCCTATTTCATTTTGTTCCATTATTTGAAGTGTAGGCCTACAGATACTATAGATAGTGAAAAAAACAACTAAAAAAGTGTATTGAATTTGAATTTCATCAATTGTTGTTAGGCCAAATAGAAAATACCTGCGTTTATGGTTACTTGGCCACAAAAAATAAGGTCTGTCTGGAAAATCATTTTTATTTTAAAAAAATATTTTCGTGGGATTTGTGGGTTAAGATTGGTTAGAACTAAAAAATTGATGCTTTAATAACCTCCAGCCTATAGCCTCTTAAAATATGCCTACCGGTTTCTGTACCCTAAAGTGATTATTATTTATTTCTTAGCATTTTTAGCTTAATTACTGAGTAAGGTTCTGTAAAATAATGCTGATTCGTACGGTTATAAATACTGAATTTTCAGTGTCAGAAGAAAACTATGCCAAGACTGATTTATAGGACCTGGGAAATGAGAATAAAAGGGGGAAAATTTAACTTACGACTTCTTCATCTAATATTAATATACTTTAAGAGAGAGGGAGAAATTGGGTTTAACGTCCACTCGACACAAACTAGATCATTTCGGGACTAACATATGGTTTAATTTTATTTCAATAATTCGCTTGCGCATAGGGGTCTTTAGCAGTGGGAGGAAACGAGAGGACCCGGATAAATACTTTAAGGATTTCAACCAAATTTGGTACGGTTGTAGCCTGGGTGGTGCTTATTTTAACCAAATTTGGTACATATGTTGCTTGGTTGGTGTTAATTCAGATTTATTCAAATCTAGTTGATTGATCCCATATGTATGATACAGTCGTACATCATAGGGGAATTTTAACACATTTTGAACTTCTTCTTTTAAACTAACTGGTGAATTTCATGGCACCATTAGGGGGAAAATATTCCTATTACCTTTTTAATCAGCAGCATTTTGTAAGAATGTTGACTTTTAGGTGTGTATAGAATAAAGTTGCTAGGCACCAAAACAGGCATATTATATGTAGAGTCTATAAAGACATTTTCTCCGCTGATGAGCATTTAAGTCCACTCACTTGAATTTAGGATGGCATTTCTGAATTTCAAAGGTCCAGTTGTTCTTGCGTATTTTAACACTGTTTTCGTACTAATACCATATGCTATTTATCTAGATTTATTGGTAAATCTGAAGATTGCCTCGGAATCATGACAAAATAATTTGACATATTCCTATCTTCCCCTCATATTCTCTGTTTCGTTTTATATTTTTCAGCTTCAGGCAGGAAGAAGTTTTATCAGACATATGACCACATCTTCAGGACTACAGGTGGTGTTTCTGGTTCCTTTTTCTTAATCTTACATTCAGCTAAATTCCCACTCTCCTAAGCTCGACTGAAATCTAATATGGAAGAGCTTTGATTATCCACCTTAAGCAAAATGTTTTGATGCACAATGTATCAGTGTTTCAGCCATTATAATAAGGAATTTTAAAAGAATTATATTGTAGGTCAAATTAATGTGCTAAATTTGTTTATCTGATGAGTTATACATAATTTCATTAGTCATGGGGCAAGTTCGTCTCTGAATAAATTCTTGGTTCAGTACTAGATTAAACAGAAATTGATTATAGTTTTGAATTTTATTTACACTGTCTATCATCTGGCAATAGAAATTAGGACTATTTCATTTCAATCTGATTAAAGCACAGAACCTATTTCGTTTCGTTTTTTATAGTTCATAATTTCGTTTTACTTGTCTTCACTACACTAGGATCTGGAAGAGTTGTTAAACCGCGTTCTGATTATTGTGAGGGGTTAGCCAATGCAGCGGTCTGTTACGACGACTCCTTGGCGCACTGTGCACGTAACTGTGGGTAAACTACTAGAAACGTCAAATCTGGTTGATTAATCAATGTCTGACATCATAGGGGCAAAAGCCGCTCGTATGACCTCTGATGCGATCTATCACTACAACCGGTCAGATCTTCATGAAGTGTATGTCATCGAAAGTATAAAATAATGAAACGAAATATAGATCTGTATTTTAATCAGATTGATTTCTTTTGTACATTTTCTAGGATGTTGTAATTGTGAGTTTTGCACGGACACCAATTGGATCATTTTTAAGTAGTTTAGCTGAAGTACCAGCTACTCGATTAGGTTCTATAGCTATAAAAGAAGCTGTTGCCCGAGCAGGTATGGTAGTATTGACAATTTCACTATATATGTATATAAGAGAGATTACTCTGATGACATATTTGCTTGTGATACTGTGATTAGTATTTAATTGATGAGAAACAAAGAAAATAAATAGAATTCTTAACATTATAAATAAAAAAAAACACAGAGACAGTTTTTAAAACATAGTCACCGAAGTGAATTGTATAAATACAATGTTAAAATACACTGAAATAACATTTAAATGTAAACATTTCAAGTATTAACTTTTTTTTAGTATGGTTTGATTTTCTTATTGTATTTATATAGGTATATCAAATGAAGAAGTTAAAGAAGTATATATGGGTAATGTCATACAAGCATGCGAAGGACAAGCGCCATCTAGACAAGCTACACTAGGAGCAGGTAATTTTCTCTCCCTGATGTTTAATGTCTGCTTCTTAAGGCAATTCAGTGTTAAACCCCATGTCATTTCATTTTTTTTTTGTTACTTCAGTGGACGCTGTCACATACGGCTTCTGAATACTACAGCATTCTGTGAACACCGTCATCAAAAAGTTTTGAATGATCTGTATTCTAAATATTACAAATTTTGACATAATCTGCATTCTGTCACACAATTTGCATTGAGTTAACATTGTGTAATCCGGCCTTCAATCTGTCGGTGTTCATCTACAAAAGATTGACAACCAATCAATTATCAGTGAGATTAATACTCATGTCGGTCTTTGTTGATTAGCTTGATATCAACACAATGACGCACTTGTGATTTCAACATCAAAGCCTTTAAACATTCGGCACACCTCGGTCAATTCTACGGTTTGTTTTTTAGAGCATTACCTGACCGATCATTGTGAGATAAAAATATGAGCACTATAGCAATGTAAATATTTAATTTTTGCCACCAATTACAACATCGATATACAACTGAAGAAGATTATACTTCCAGTATTGGAAGGTACAGTAATACTTTGGGTATTGAGTATTCTGTCATGCTGTGTAATCTGTCATTTTGACGATCTCGTTCCATTGAAAATCTGAAATGATTCAAATTGATAGAAATGCAAAAAGCCTGATACAAAAGTTAGTTTGGTCACAATTCTATAATCAAATACTGTGGATATGTTTCAGTCTGTTTACTTGATTGTCACTATTAATGCCTGCTGGAATAGAGAGAATTCAACTACCGAACATTGAATCTAGAAGATCCTATCTAGTTATAATTTATGGCACAGATTCGAAACGTTCAAGACAAATACAATATAATGAACGAAATAATATAATAGGGTATAAACTCTTTTCAGCCGAATAACTTGGTCATATAGAGTCTAACACCTTATTTTTTAATTCTCTAATTGAAGAAAAGGAGGAAAATTTGTCGTGGACAGCACTGTTTCATCTAAATTCCAATTATCAAGGCTTTGTAACATTCCCTACTATATACACAAGACCTGATTTTTACTATCACCTCCAAAACACTAAGTACATCTTAATGCAAGCTCTGCATACTTTATACCCAGTCCAGACTTAAAATCCCCAAGGATGTTGTTTGCCCATATTCTGATTTGAACCTAGGATAATGAATGCCCTTACAGCATCATAACGGATAAAACAATGTAAACGATTTCGTTTTAGTGGTGATAAAATTGAAAGTTTGAATTGAATAAAATTATATTTAACCTAAAACTTATAAATATTATGTATGTTTATAATTATTTATTTTTATTAGAATTACCAATATCTACACCTACTACTACCATAAATAAAGTATGCGCTTCTGGTATGAAAGCTGTAATGATGGCAGCTCAAAATATAATGTGTGGTCATCAGGTATTTTAGCTTTCATACATTGTTGATTAAAAGCACAGCAGTAGTGGTGGTTTTTTTTATGTGTCACTTCCAAAGTGGACAGATTTTACACTACAGTTACTATATATATTCAAATCTAAAATTTATTATTGTAATATGCTCTTAGGAAGTATAACCTGTTTTAAGATAATTTGGCTACAGATCAGATTGCATATTTTACTTTACTAAGAAATTATTAAACTGATCAGCAGTCAATGTTCACTGGACAGTTACAATCACTGAAATGATATTAACTTTTTTCCTTCTGCAAATTATATTCTAAAATATTTTTTTAAAGTTTAGAAAAATAAATAAAGGTGTTTGAAATATATCCAGATACAAAATATTTCACATTTAGAGTGAACAGGTACATGAAATAGTACGCGAAGGTGTAAAATGAGTAAATGGCACCATTCTGTCCGGACCAGTTTACGCTATTTAAAAAATGCACGTGCTATCGACGCTGTGTGATGTGACTTCGCACGTAGAATGCATGTGAACTTACAAAGGTCAGTCACTCTACAGCAGAGTTAGAAGAAGGCTTTTGCATTACATCTGTAAAACAGAATGAAAAATTATGTCAAATATTTAAAATGTCTGGAATGCTAAGTAATAAACTGATACAAGGTAGATTTTTCAACTGGATATTTTCAATGTTAGCTGGACATTGATTGGCAAAATTAGTTGTGATCGCCCGTTATAAATTCAGAAATTCTTTACATTAATCAAGACTACACTGTTATATGTGGGTTGTTTAGTTATAATGTATATTTTGTATAGGATGTTATGGTAGCAGGTGGAATGGAGAGTATGTCCAATGTACCATATTTTATGAAAAGAGGACAAACTCCATATGGTGGAATTAAATTAATAGTAAGCTTTTAGTTGTTCATTATGAAATTAATTCTGTAATTAAAATTAATATCTTGTAAATATAAATTGTAAAATATATAATATGATTGTTGTTTTATAATAAGATTGTTGTTATATAATAAATTGTAAGATATATAATAAGATTGTTGTTTCTAATAAATTGTAAGATATGTAATAAGATAGTTGTTTTATTATAGGATGGCATTGTACATGATGGGTTAACAGATGCATATGATCATATTCACATGGTGAGTAATAATAATATTTTATATAAAATGTTGAAATACATTTAATGGGACAAATTAATGCAAATGTTCTGATGGCTCATCTCAATAGAGTTTATAAAATTTTTTTTTTTTTAAATATCCACAAGCTAAGCTAAAATATCTCAATATGTTCATATCAGACATGAATATAAATACAAAAATTAGTTTTCTTATTTAGGGTAGTTGTGCTGAAAACACTGCTAGGAAATTTGGAATATCTCGAGAACAACAAGATGAGTACGCTATTAGAAGTTACACATTAAGTCAAAAATCTGCTAGTGATGGTATCTTTAAACCAGAAATAGTCACAGTAGAAATACCAAAAAGAAAAGGTAAGTAATTAAGGTAATATAAGTAATAGTATCTATAAATGGAAAAAAAAGTAAAAATGCACAATAAAAAATATATAGACAATACAAATTAAACTAGTTTGTGAATTCTAAAATTGCGACAATTTCTTTTTATCGTCTCCACATTTCTGGATTGATTTTATATGTTTAATTGTATATTTTTGATTGTGTATGCTTCAGGTGATCCTGTTAGAGTTAGTGATGATGAGGAATATAAAAAAGTAAATTTTGATAAATTTAAGGCTTTAAAACCAGTATTTCAAAAGGAAGGAGGTATGTTATTATATCATATATTTTAACACATTGATTTTCTGTTTTCATGCCAATATATAAGGGTACAAACTTTTCAAAGTATATCAGTATGGACTTTGATCCTTTGTCGCCCTGTCACTGATGATTCTGTTTTTACTAGGAAACTTCCTCAGGTGCCTAAATCATTCTACTAAACACAGATATTTTGGATAATTTATACATGTCTGACAAAAGATTTAAATATCAGAAACAAATTGCCTAAACTAAAACCACTATTAGCCTGTAGAAAGATTATGGATATTTTTAATAAATCTTTTGTGTGTTTAAATCATTCATGTGATGAAAAAAGCATTAAATAATAGGTTTCTCAAAGTGAATTGATTTGTAATATAGGTACAGTAACGGCAGCCAATGCTAGTACTTTAAATGATGGTGCAGCTGCCTTGGTTTTAATGTCTGCTAAAGCTGCTGAAAGATTAAAGGTCAAACCACTTGCTAGAATATTGGGCAAGTACAATTCTTAGGTTATTACAATAAAGGTAAAATCACAGGAGGTTTTTTATGATGAGATCACAATGGCTTCAACGGTTATTTTGTTACATTAAGTCACTCAAAGATATAAATATTTTTTGATTTGAAAGGTTATTTGTGATCCTGTCCAAATTTATAAATAGTTTTAGTAATTATAATGATGATGATTTTACCAGTTCCATCCACAAAAGCATGCTCAAGGCACTGGAGTTCTATTATAATTCTTTTGAATTTTTTTTGAATTTTTTTTTTAAATTCTAGGATTTGCAGATGCTGCTATGGCACCTATAGATTTTCCTATTGCTCCAGCAGAAGCTATTCCTAAAGTATGTATGGTCATGATGTTTTTTTGAAATTTGAGTCAGTGATAGAGAATAATGCAAGGCATGATATCTTTTAAGCTATAGCTAGCAATTGTCAAGTTAATAAAAGATCTCAAGACAGTGGTAATTTGGGGCTGAATAAAATCAGGATTTTTGTCATCTAAAAATTCTCCTCTTGAATGTTGAGTACCTAATCACAGAACTAAGAATTATTATAAATGTCTATAGAACACACCTGTCACAGTCAATGTCAGGCACAGATTCAGGCTTTGTCAGTCACAATATCTCTGGTGCCTGTCACTGAGTTGTCTTTTTTATTGATATTATTAATACATGCCTGGCACTAAGTTGAAAATGTCAGGTACTATTTCATTAGTGCCTGACATTTTGTCAGGTACATCTAAAACCGTTATTTCCAGGCCTGTCTATAGTGCTGACAAGATGGTATTTTATTTAAAGTGTACTGTATACTTTTCTAATTATATTACTGTTCCATTGACTTGAATATTTTGTTGTCAATTTTACAGGTATTAAAAGCAACAGGTGTGAAGAAAGAAGATATTACCATGTGGGAGATTAACGAAGCATTCAGTGTGGTAGCATTAGCTAATATGAAAGCCTTAGATATAGATCCTACAAAAGTTAATATACATGGTGGTGCTGTCAGTATAGGACATCCTATTGGGTAATTCATTTTTTATACAATAGAAACCCCCTCATTCTCAAATTTTGTGAGAAAATCATCCAGTTTTATGAGTAATTAGTTATCTTGGTATTTTGATATCATTAATTATGCAAATTAGTAGATGAAATTTGCATGAAAGTATAAATTTAATCTTTGGGTTAAGCTGAATAATTGTTCCACTTGGTCTAACATGAAATGCACCCAGGCAACTTGAAAAATACTTTAAATAATGAAGAGTTTAAATAGCCTGTCATTTGACATCTTTGAGAAAGCTTTTGGCAATTGTTTTTAGGTTTTATAGATATTGTGTTATGTTTCAGTATGTCTGGTGCTAGAATTACAGGTCATATGGCATTAAATCTAAAACCAGGTCAGAAAGGAATGGCTGGAATATGTAATGGAGGTGGTGGAGCGTCTGCTATATTGATTGAAAGATTATAATATAGTGTACATCGAAACAATTGGATTAAACAAAAATGAATCATATATATATATATATTTATCTGGAATCTCAATTAAAAGACGATATTTAAATACCAGACAAATAATGTACTGTGTAAATACAATAGGTACAAGAAGGGAAGTATGTCGAGTGTGTATACCTGTGATGAACTATACAATACTAATCATGTGATAATAACTTATCTACTGTATGTACATGTTAGAAATTCTGTACATAAATATAATATATTATAAACAGCTGTAATGTTTTTGGGGATCTTAAGAATTTCTCTCTTGGCATTGAATTGTCATTTTTCTAGTGTTTTTAATTGAGTGCCAATTATCATCTGAAGATTACAGGGCACAGTAATAGAATTATTGCTTTCAGTATCAAATACTTTCAACTAAGTTTATCTATTAAGTATGAGGTGAGATGTACAAATGGGCATGCAAGTTTAAAAAAACCAAAACAAAGTAAATGTTGAGCATGAAGATACAAGGGAAACAACTCTGCCTGTATTGAACTACAAACCTCTTGGGGGATGCTCATTTGTCAGTTTGGAATGACCTAATTGACAGAATTGCAATTGAGTGATGTGGAATTCAGTCCTGTCAGTTTGGTCATTCCCAACAACTGAAGTGGTGAGAGTGGAATCGTGACGTAATTAATCACAACGAATATGTTTAAGCTGTCATGGTCGGTTGAGATATTAGGTTGTAGGCCTGCAATTCCCCTTTTCACTGGATTGTAACTATTTTGGGGATGGAGAGAATTCAATTCCAGAACATCCAATCTAGTATCCCCTATATGGTATTTATGTAAATTTTGCTTTAGTACCAAGACAATTCTATTAATTGTACCCTGCCTTTCGAAGTCTGTCTGTTTTCCGATGTGCACAATTTACATTGCAAGATTAATGAGTCAAATGTTGCAGTTTTGATTCCAGACTTTTATGTGACAAAGACCCCTGCATGGAAGCGACTTAAAGAAATAAAGGTATACTGATGTTAGTCCCCAAATGGCCTGCTTGATTGGATGTTAAACCCAACTTCTCTCTCTTATACAAATGTGGGATCAAACGCCCAACTTGCATAGATGCAGACCTTATGATCTACAGTGCAACCTGTTAGACAACACCCTCCCTCAAAACTGAAATAGAAAGGAAGATAGGTCCATTACTCCTTACAGTTACATGATCATTACTTAAACCAGGGGCTGCCAGGCAGGATTCGCCCACATTTTCGAGAGATGGATAGAGAACAAGCTAAAAAGAAAGTGATTTTTCCTACAATCAAGGGCCATAATATGCGCAAATATCGAAAAGAACCAAGATCTTTGGGTTTTAAACATGCATTTCAAGTTTCATCAAAATCGGATTAAAATTGTGATCTCTACAGGGTCCACAACCTTGATATACCATATTTTTACACCATTCGCGTACAAGCGGCGGCCATTTTGTCCGGCAGCTTTGGTTTGATTTTTAGGAAATTCGAACTCAACATTTATTACGGTGTCACGGTGATATAATCAAACGGATAATAATTGTGACCTCTACAGGGTCCACAACCTTGATATACCATATTTTTACACTATTCGCGTACAAGCGGCGGCCATTTCGTCCGACAGTTTTGTTCCGATTCTCACGAAATTCGAACTCAACCTTTATTATGGTGTTATGGTGATATATTCAAACGATTTTTAAAACCAGATAATAACTGTGACCTTTAGAGGGACCACAAGCTAAAAAAAGGTGATTTTTCGTATAATCAGGGACCATAATTCAGGAAGTTACGATCCGATATGGGACAATATCGAAAGGAACCAAGATCTTTAGGTTATAAACATGCATTTCAAGTTTCATCAAAATCGAATTAAAATTGTGACCTCTACAGGGTCCACAACCTTGATATACCATATTTTTACACTATTTGCGTACAAGCGGCGGCCATTTTGTCCGGCAATTTTGGTCCGATTTTCACGAAATTCGAACTCAACCTTTATTACGGTGTGGTGATATAATCAAACGTTTTTCTTTTTTTTTAAATCGGATAATAATTGTGACCTCAAGAGGGACCACAAGCTAAAAAAAGCGATTTTTCGGACAATCAGGGGCCATAATTCAGGAAGTTACATTCCGATGGGCGCAAATCTCGACAGGAACCAAGATCTTTGGGTTATAAACATGCATGTCAAGTTTCGTCAAAATCGGTTCAAAATTGTGACCTCTATAGGGTCCACAAGCTAAAAACGCAATTTTTCGTTCAATCAAGGGCCAATAATCCACGAAGTTTCGATCCGATACATATCGAAAGCATTATTAAATGATATGGTGAATTTGATCAAAAGCTGTTAATTATTGCAACCTGTAGAATATTTACAGACAAAAATTTAAGGAAAAAGAGGGTGTGGTGCAACACCCCTGGGCATGGGACATGCATCAAAATAAATAGTTGCTATCCTTACGGTATAAAGAATAACTATGGTAAGTTCCAAGATGATCCATCCATTATGAATGTGGACGTATAAAAATGTGACAGAAAACTGGGGTGCTGTTTACATGTAAAAGACCCCACAACAGTTTGATTTGATGAAGATAAGGCTAGGTCATTTTGGGACTAACATATGATGCAATTTTATTTCAATAATTTGCTTGGGAGCAGGTATTTTTAGTAGTGGCAGGAAACTGAAGGAGCTGTTGAAAACCCACTAAGTTGGGCAGACAACTTACTCCTTGTCACGTACAAACTTGGGATTGAAACCACAGCCACTTGACAGACTTTCTAATGTAAAGTGCACACCTTGGACTACTCAACAGGTTCCATAGTAAACAAATGAACACAAATAAAGATGTAGAAAAAATATTTTTATATTTTTCTGTACAAATAAGTAAATAATATATAAAAACAAAATAAAATATATTTTACAAATTTGTGGAATGGGCTTTTCCTTCTTTCGCCCTTAATGGTAAAATTAATTCAGCATATAATAAATTGTGTTAACATTCAAAATGTTAATAATTAACAATATGGAAGTTATGGAATATAATAAATTAATGATATGCATGGAAACAATTATTGTATATACATATCAATGTTATTTTATTTCTGATGGAATGGAATGGGCTATGATGTCTTGCTGTAACTTTTCCAAGGACATTTTGAGACACTGTTATTTTATTTATATATATACCATGGTTACACTATGTGGGGAGCCACCTACTGATACTCATCGTCTAATCCTAACAGTCGAGTTTCATCGTTTTCATTCACTTCAATGTGTATACTGGTATATATATATATATATAATATTATCAACTTAAGAGTTTAATTGTCTTGGCAGCAGGTTTTGATATGATGAACAATTATATAAACCTTTATAAATAATTCATTTTCATAAGAAAAATCAATGCATAAGGCTGGGTTTGTCTGTGAAATGAAAATGTTTTTGAAACACCAAGATCACAAATCTATTTTGTTAAAAAAGCTTCTAAGGAAACGAAAGCGAAAGACAAGAAGCAAATTAATAGATTTTACTAGCAAGCAACACTACAGGTTTATTAATGATTGAAAAAGTTTAAACCGAAATGACAAGAGAGGTGAGGATCCCTGGTACATGTATCGTGCAAAAGTGAGAATTTTATATGTAGTAAATAGCAACCACTTTCCAGGTTTTTGTTCAAAATAAAAATCCTAAGGGCATGGCCCACATGGTTTATTTCGATTAACAACCACAGAAGTAGGTTGCTATCTGACTTAAACATGACACAAACTATGAGGATTATCACCAAGTATTAACCCACAATGACTTCACAGAAGGTTGCAATCTGTTTCACAGAGAATTACGAGTCTCGTATAATACCTCTGTCATAGATGACTGCCTTAACACGTGCTGTCACAGCATGCGGTGTGAATCATTGGCTGAATGACGCGTGCATTGTTTACATAAGACATAACTGCTTCGGAGAGAATGCTGCATTTTAGTCATTTTAATACCCATTTACACTAAATAGGAAATAATTTTTACCTACAAATACGTCAAACGCCTTTATTTATTTTTCCAATATATAAAAAAAATGTTTTAGAATTTAATTTGTCGCAGGAAAAAAGTTAATATTTCTAGCTCATTAAGCCGCATCAATGTCATCCTTATCAGTGATTGTCGCGGCCAAGCAAATATTCACTGCGGATCAGTGTGAGAAGGTTGATACAGGGAATAGCCACCTTAAACCATCAAAAGTTGCTATGGGAGATAATTTAGAGGTGTGTATTTTAAAGCCTCAACATGCCAGTATAAAGGTTAAATATAAGAGTGTATTAAAAAAAACATTTTGTCCAGAAATTATTTCAACTATTCTAGAGATTTTGCATCCCTACTTTATGCATCTTGCCCAAATAAAATAGTATAAATTTTAAAAAACACAACACAGTTTATATGGAAATACAATCACTGGTTTATAAGTATAGCATGACGTTTCGACAAGTATTCTCTTATCGTTATCAAGCACAAATGAAACCGTGTTGTGTTTTTTTAATGTGTTCAATCGCTAAATGCCACTCAAGGGTAGTATAAATTTTGCAATCTTTTTGTTCAAGCCATCCAATTCTTCATAAAGGCTTTATTCTATTCTTGGGTGTGCTTAATTACAAGAAATCAAATTTTTCTTTAGCAACAAACAGCCTTTATATTAAAATAGTACAGTTTTTATTTTTTTTATTTTTGAGATAAATATGCGAATGATTGGTCTGTTGTGCCTTTAACCCTGAAGTTACCGATTATAGTGTTATTGTTTACGTGGGGGATTTTAAAGATTGTTACAAGCACATTCACTACTGTTAGAAGTTACAGATTACAATAGTACTTATTGTAGGGACAGTAATTAAAATGCAAATCATAACGAAAATCTTTTATCTATTGCATGTAGAAAAAAAAAAATATTTGAAGACAATAAAATCATACCGTCAGATAAAATTAATTTTGATGAAAAATAAAAATTCCTGATTTTACTGAATCACTTTCTTTGAACAAATTAAAAAATGCAATATGGAATGATTATTGGTAAACAAATATAAATACATGCAATTCTGAATTAAATGAACACATAAAAACGTAAATTACGTCTTAATAAAAACGTAAATTACGTCTTATTAAATATGTCCACCATCTTTCAGTTTCACAATGACTAGAGACCTAAGGTGCCCTCTGAACCTTTACATTATCATCCTTCCATCAATCATGAAATCTACATGAAATATGAATCCACTATTAAACAAATTTCAAACAACTGAAACAGTACAATTAGAGACACAATGTTCACAAATCGATATAGAACCCGCTGTTCCTTTCTCAGCTGGGTGGTTATTCTCAGAAACTTGTAGATCCAACATCATGGTGAAATACAATACTCCATACTGTACATAACATTAAATTATAATTTATAACATCGACTAACAAAACTTAACAGATATATAACAAACACATAGTGTTATATAACAATTCAATTTACACATCACTACCATGTACTGGATCATAATTTAGAGACACATATAACTCATTATAAGATTTAGTATTATTATCATAGTCATTATATTGGTTAGTTTTACGCATCTTTTCCGCTGCCTCAAGTAATTTACGCTCATACCAGCTGTGGGACTGTGTAGTATTAGTGTTAGTCGACACCCCTGATGATTTCGGTAAGTGAAAATCCATCGGATTGTTCGTTAAGCAAGGTGAGTTACTATTACTAGGTGTACCTATTGATAAACTACGATCGGCACTAAACGATGAGGAGGGCGTACAACTGACTGATTGATTTCCCTGTCCTATACCTTTACTACTATAACCCGAGTCGGGATTACTACTACACGTAGAATCTTCTTTATTAACATACGCTGGATTATAAACAACTTGACTTGGTGAACTATGAGCGTAAGGTATAAAAGTGGAGGGATGATGAACTGGGGATTTTGAGCCATTTAAAATAACATCTTTGTTTGTGAGACTATTTTCAGTTTTTCCACTATCCACATTATTGCGAACTTGATAGTTATATGTAGCTGAAGGATATTGTCTATTGTATGCTGGTGTGTCTGTTTTATACACAGGTTTGGAAACAGACGTAACAGTGCCATAAGGTTGACCTTGTAACCTGTTATCTGTCGTTGATCTAGTATAATTAACGGAGCTAGCCAGTTTACGAATTTCATTTGCACTAGAGTAAAGCTCATCTTGTTTAAAAGTATTTGTAGAATCATATTTTCTATACGGACTATTATTAACGTGATTTTCGGGTCTCTGTTCGCCATTTTCAAAAGGTGTTGGAGTTTTATTTGAAACACGATCTAAAAATGTTACACTTTTCCTTTGAGGTGACATACTATGTTCGGCTCTATCTGGACTATCTAATGTTCGTTCGACACTTTTACTCCTAGGAATTCCAGACGGATAAAGATCTTGATCCTGATTTAATGGATCAGAAGATTTGGCAAGTCTGTAGTTTGGTGATAATGGCCGAGAATTATAAGCACTTGTTCGATAGTTTCTATTTTGATCATAATGTTTTGACGCACTAGAATTATAGGCACCGGTGCCGTTATAAGTAGTACCTAGGGAGGAATCCCGAGCACCGATGACGTTACTTATATTTGGGACCCCCCCTTCGGCTAAATTTGACCTTCGTGAATTTCTGTTTTCGATTTGAGCTCTTGACATACTCCTATATAATTGTGAGTCAAACTGACTTGACTGTCGCGGTCTAACAGTCGGTGGACGTGTCACACTTTCTCCAGGTCTCTGCCATTTTTGATTTGCACTTTGTTTAGGAATTGCTCCTTCACTTTTGTCCTTACTAACACCTCCAGGATAATTAAAATCATGATAAATTGTGTTTGCATTTTCTTCATATTTTGGAGAAGCACCGTCTGCTTTTCTGTCCATATTATTTTTATTTGGATGAACTTGTGCCTGAGTGACAGTTAAATGATTATTATTCCTCTCTTTCTGTGGGGCACCATCTTTTTTGAATGAAACGTCCCAACCACGTATTTGCCTCATGGCTGCCTGACGACTTTCATAAAAAGTTTTCTTACGATTTTTGCCACTGCAGTCTGATAAAGTCTCATCTGAACGAGACTTAAACAAGCGTCCATTTGCATTTTGATGAAAGTCGAAGAAGATATTCCTAGATGGAAGAGCAGAATCGTCATGGTGATGATCTAAACAATGTCCATAACTATCCATTTTATCATCCAGCCACGATTGTATTTGCTTATTATATTGAGATAACACATTTCTATTACCACTCCATTCTTCTTCGATTCTTTCCGTTATTCTATTATGACAAGCTTGACGTTCCTGTTCTAATCGTTCCTTCGTTAATTTATCTATCGCATACACTTGTTGTGCTGTACGTTGATCAAGATGATCAATACGTTGACTTAATATCTGATGAGAAGCATCGATGTGTTCGTATAGATTGCCTTTAGTTTTCTCCACGTCATTTTCAAGTTTCTTCAAAGAAGGTCCACACTGACATGTCGGACTATAACCAATGGGACCCTACAAATAAATATAAAACATTGATTATGTTTCTTGAATCTATAGCAGTGTATGATTAACAGATTCCAGTTTTCATTCTGGATTTTTTGTTCATTTGGAAGGTCCACTAACTTCACTATTGCCTGATTCTGCTTTATTTGTCCAATGCAGGGATAGACTGAGAAGAAGCCTGTGAGTATGGTAGACTCAGGGGGCGCCTAAAGAATTTAATGATCTCTTGTAATTTTGGGGACCTTTTTAGTCTTGAATTTACATTGTTTTTGATGACATGATGAAACTGCCACATGCTAAATGGGGGTTCGAATGGAGGGCCACTAATGGGGCCAGACGCAGGGCCGTCACTGGTCCAATGGATCTGTTTCTTATTAGAACTGACTATATTTCGTGGTCAAACTGATAAGTTCTTTATTTCTATCTTAAATGAATCCGTGCAAGTAAAATGTATTATTTTTATCTAATAAAAGTTTGATGTTTACCTGTTTAATATTACCAGCTAAATCTCTATAATACTGAACACCTTGTTTAGGTACATATTGACTAAAGAAACCCTCAACTTTTCGCCGTGGGATATTAGGTGTTGGTTTATCTTGAGCTACAGGTTTCTCTTTATCCTTATCTTTATCCTGAAAATATACATACATAATTTATCTATAACACAATAGATGGCAATGGTGTATTGAGGATGTAAGAATGAGTAGTCTTTGATTAAACATACATTATGCAAGAGCTAAATCTGTCTATTGCAGGTCTTTCTTTAGGCCTGAAATGTTATCTAAATTATTAATTAGACATTAATTAACCTATCCAGACCATAATCAACTCTAGATGGCATCGCTAGCCTGCGATCTATAGTGGATTATGAACCGATTTATTGCATAACTTTCCTTCACGATTTAACGATTAAATGGATAATCGAGACTATACTGTTTATCGTACCGACTTTAGTAATGATGATCAAGGCTAGGCGGAAATTCAATCGCTTAGTTCTCGGTTCATAGTGGATCAATTTGAATGAAATATTCAGTAAATTGCCTTTACATTATCTAGATTTTAACTATTATAGTGAGAACTGCCAACTCGTTATCGAATCTCCCATAATGTATCTTTAAGATATATCTCTTTTGCTGAAGACTGTAACCAGAATTTTCTTTCTTCAAGTCATACTTTCAAGAAGTAATTTATCAATTTTGTGAACTTCATTTTGAGTGAACCCTTTATCATTACAGGCCTGGGACAGTACAGCGCAATGGACGCTTACGGCTCGCCACCAGATCCATTAACTTTATTTGATATATTGCAATTTCTATGTAGTTTGCCTTGTCTGCAGGTTTGTTTAAGTAGCTGCAAACCCAAAATGTTCTCCCAAATTGCATTAATGAATCTTTATGACTAACACTACACTAAAATATAAGTTTTACGAAATACAACTGCATGTATGTAGTCCTACCTTTTTCTTCCGTTTGAAGAAGAAGAAGCGTTTTTTCTCTTCTGGTTTTTCGGTTTTTATTGGTGGATGATCTTCTGGAACAACAATAGGTCCATCAATCATCTCAATCTCTTCTTTAAACGCTACTTGCCCTGGTATTTGTTCTCGTTCTCGACTAGTATGACGTGGCGTCCTAGGCTACAAAAAACAAAAGTATAGCTTGCTAGACTGAAATTTAATAGGATTCTTCATCTCACTAATGTAATGAATGATTGAAATGGGGTTTAACATCCTAGTTTTTTGCACCAACCTGGCTAATGGAGATGTGTCATATGCCAAGTAGTGTTCTATGAGGGAAATTTCACCCGGACAGAAATAATTCCAACTGTCAAAGGTTCTTTTACATGCATGCCAACATGTATCCAAATGACTAAACACTTTTCCTGGCAGGCTCTCCATCCTGCACCACTGACACCAGGCAACTAATCTGGAAGATGGCCGGGAACTTTCAAAGCTAACACTAGTATCGAACCCCAGACCTCTTGGTTAGTGAGACAGCACCTTACTCGTTAAGCCACATCTCACTAATGTAAACACAATATATTTTAAAAAGATCAGGTAATAATGGTAGTCCATAGACTGTCCACAAGGAATTGTGGACGACACATGGAAGGAGCGAGAGGGGTAATGGAAATGTACAAACTCATCTGTACCCTACTCTTTGCGATCATACTTGGCCATCTGAGCCTCCATTTCTCCTCACAAAGTTATGTGTTTATCAAATTTTAAGCACATTTTACCAATTGCTTGTAGATTCATGCAATGTGTGTGAAATAGCTTTCGCTTTAAAATTCGCTTCCACAGAAGTTATATCGCAGACAAAATTCTTGTAACTGTGTAAACCTGTTATATACCGGTATGTATATATAATATTTAGATTAAAGAATTAAATATTGCCTTACCCTAGAAAATGATGTAATGATAAGAATTATTTCAGGGTGCTCTTTTCTCTTGGCAACATCTACAGCTGTTTCATTTTGCTGTTAAGAAAACATAAAATAAGTTATGAATTTCGGTTACATTGCTTTTCTATATTTTTGGGTAGGCAGATCATTTTATTTATACAATGAAAAGATTTGGAATGGATTTCTACTTTACATAGTTTATTTCTTGTGATTAAAAGTACTGAAAACATTCAACTCATCCAAATAAATTATTTATAATAATATTCTAAAAGATCACCATGTTTAGGTAAAACTTACCTTATTTTTGATACTGATGTCAATATGAGCCTCGACAAGTAGTTTGGCAATTTTACGTCTTCTAAGAGCAGCAGTGATATGAAGACTAGTATCACCATTCTGAAAATATTTCAATAAAAAAAATATATTATTCTAAAAGTAATATTTTCTGAGATGTGAAACTCCATTTTGAAAATGAAACCCTACCATAAACAAAAAGCATTTACATGTCTATTTGGGAGACTTGGATCATGCACAGAAATTAAACCTATTTTACATTCCAATAAAAATTTGTTTAAAAGTTGCCCACAGATAGAAACAGCTGGATAATATCAAACTTGTCTTTAATGTTAAGAGGGTAATTGTACACAAGTGGTTTATTTTTGAAATAAAATACAACTTCAAACATTGTTTATTTTACACTAGATTTTAAACTAAATAACCAAAGGCTAAATACAACTGTGTTTCCATTTTTTCTCCTAATAGGCTGTGGTTTAAAAGCCAACAAGCTAAATATACAATGTGGTCTTTATTCATATATAGCAGGGAGGTGGCAGCCATTACAATGTTCTCAAGGTTGTTCTTAAATCAGTCATATTTAAAAAAAAATGCAAGTCACTCATCAATCAATTCTAGAAACAAGTCACATACGCCTACTGATAAATAATTTGATATTGAGGACGATTGCAAATAAATACCAATCTTCCCAATTAATTTGGTCCAACATTTCATTTCCAACATATATTACCACAACAAAAGTGTGGTGTGTGTGTTGAACACTCAATCAAGGACAACCATAATTTTACTTAGAAATTCAGTTGGAAATGATTGATGAAAACAGAGTTGTGATTGGTTGAAAATATTGCATCGTCTCCTATCAAAGTGAGCAAATAAATCGATAATGGTTATTTAGCATTACACCCTGCCACTGGAAGATACCAATACCATTCTGAAGTACATATCGATTTTCATAAAACATTTACTTTGATATATTATAGATACCTGTATGTAGTTTATATAGATTTGTCTTTGACATTCTATAAATGAATTTGAATGTAAGTTATCAGAACTATCAACGGCCGTTAGACATGCATACAAAGAAAGACGATAATGTCAATATGATGTAAACATGGAACACAAGTCAACGTGAATTACACAGAGTTAGACAGGAACAATGAGAAAGTTGTCAAGAATTTGTTTGTGAAGAGATTTACATCTCACCTAAACATGCTGTTTTTGATCTTTTTATAGAAAACACATGTTAAAGAGAAAAGTTTATTGAATAATACTAGAGGGTGGTCTAATATCAGACTTATTATGTCTAGTTGTTAATACCTTCTTTATATTTCAAACACACTATACAATATATTGTTTAAGCAGCATTTAGTAACTGGATGAGAATAACACATGACACAATTATATGGAATACAAGTTACTTGAAGGGTTTATTTCAGCGACGTTTCGATGAGGGCTCGCCCGTCTTTATCAAGCAAAAAATGACAACCATGGTACAATGAAGATATATATACAAAATATGGAACAAAGACAAACATTTATATACAATCAGAGATAATCGTTTAGAAACCATCAAAAGGGTGGGACTTGAGGGTGAATGCTTTCGGCACCAAACAACTATCTCTACATCGCATGAGAAATGTTAGACTGTTACAAACTTTGATATATTTACCCTCAGATGGTTTCTAAACGATTATCTCTGATTGTATATTAATTTTTGTCTTTGTTCCATATTTTGTATATATATCTTCATTGTGCCATGGTTGTCATTCTTTGCTTGATAAAGACGGGCGAGCCCTCGTCGAAACGTCGCTGAAAGAAACCCTTCAAGTAACTTGTATTCCAAATAATTGTGTCATGTGTTATACTATACAATACAGGCCATATCGGTTTTATTAAAAATAAAAGTAGACTACTGTACCTTATTTTGTTCATTTAGACGACATCTGGCACTAATCAAAATTCGTGTGACCCCAGCGTGACCATATCTTGCTGCTGTATGTAAAGCGGTGTCACCATACTGAAACATTAATAATAAATTTGATTAAATAGGGAAATGATATTAAGTTAATACCTTAACCATTTACAATGGTTTCTTGACTGAAAAATATTTTGCCATTTTCAAAAATTTGTCACTTAAGCTTGGGACCTGCCAATAATTCAAGAAATAGAAAAGGGCAATAAGGTAACAAAAAAAGTTGGTTTACTAATAAACAGTTAATTTAAAATTATTTAATTAATTAAAACTTACATTATTTTTACTATCTGGATTACAACCGGCATATAGAAGAACCCGTGAACTTTCATTATGACCAGCTTGTGACGCTAAATGTAATGCTGTAAAACCCGCCTGAAAAAATAAAAAAATATTTTGTTACATTTATGAAAATAGATAATAGATCAGTAAAAAGGGTGTTTTCTCAGACCTAACTTATTTGGCTGTGTGTTGACATTCAGATTATATCATGGAACAATGTGCACTATTTTCTTTGACTAGTTGGGTTGTAAAGGTGCTATGGGTACAGCGTTGAATTAAGTCCATCTTAGAGGCATACTCTTACATTTCTGGTCAATTAAATATATTTTATAAAAGTAAAAAAAAAATAGATTGACAGAGAAGCTCTAATAAAAAAATATATCTTCTCAAATTTAGTTAAGTTTACATTTGAAGGCTCTTTCTGATCTAGCTCCTTGGTTGTATCTGTTATTATTTCATTCAATTCGTGCTGCTGTTCATGCCCATATTACAACTTTATAATGGTGTTTAATAAGTACTATCTTACCTTATTAGGTAAATGAACACTAGAGTTATGTTTAACTAATAATTCTAATGATTTACTATAACCATTCCATGCTGCTTCATGTACAGCTGTATTACCATGCTATAATATATCAAAATATATTGATGCAATTAAAAAAAAAATTAATGCAATAAAAAAACAAAACAAATTGTATTAAATCTAGATTTGTTTTAGAAGCTGTTAACATCACTTGTGCATTTCTGTATTTTTTTTTCAATGCTGTTCGGACTAAGGCCATAACTATTTAACTTGTAGTTTTTTGGCATCTTGATAAATAAGTAGTCACTCTTTAGATGTCCAATAAAAAATCTTATCATTGTACACTTCCCACTTATTTTAGAATTCTAAATAAATAAAAGAACAATAATCACCTGGTCTTGTACATCTATACAACATCCTTCATTTAATAAGAGTTCAGCTATTTCTAAATTACCTTGTGCTATGCATCTGTGTAATGGTGTATATCCAAGCTTAAACAAAAAAAAAATTTAAAAGTTGATAATAAAGACATCGGACACGATTCTATGGAATATAATTACTGTTGATTTATACTGAGCAACATTTTTGATGAGGATACTCTTGTCTTTTGTTCAATCATTATTTGTAATTTTGCCATTGCTTGATATAGATGAAATGTTGCTCAATCATATACAATATATTTCTAGTTCAATTACTATATGCCATTGAAACAATCAATTTTTGAGGACTTGTAATCCTTCCTCAGTGTCTAAAATCAGTTAAACCGTGTCAATATAAGGCAAAAGATGCGCAAAATTAAAACTTTCATCACAAATTAAAGCTAACATTTAATCCAGGTAAGATTAATAATAATAGATTTATTTCAAGCAGATTTAAATTGCTTATAAACATGTGTAAATGATAGAAATTTCCGTGCCCTATTACCAACACTTGTATATTTTTACTAGATAGCTGCCAGCTGGAATAGATCTGATAAAAGTAGTTCCGACCAGAATGCCAATCACTCTGTTTGGAGGCAAGTTTTACTTTTATCTACATATGTCAGTAAATAAAAACCGATTGAATGAAGAAAGTGCTTTGTGTTTTGTAACTTTAAGAAGATACGTAAGGCAATCGTAGAAGAACTAAGAAATAAAATGAAATGAAATGAAATGGGGTTTAACGTCCTACTGTTCTGCTCCTAACCTGGGCTAATGAAGACGGGCATACGCCATACAGTGTGCTATGAGGGAAATTTTGCCCGGACAGCGGCACTACGGCCTACTCTTATATCGAATTCCAACTGCCAAGGGATCTTTTACGTGCACGCCAATGTGTACACGGGACCTCGGTTTTTCGTCCCATCCGAACGACTAGACAGCTTTCCTTGTCAGCCCCTCCGTCCTGCTTCACTGACAAGGGAGAACCACGCCGGAAAATCTGGATGAACTTTCTCGGCCAATGCAGGGATCGAACACCCGACCTCCAGGCAACTAAGAAATAGACAAGACGCTATAAACAATGTAAAACAATGAAAAACATAATACAGAATGTTACATTTTTATGATTTGGGCATTTTTTTTCAAAAAAAAAAAGAAAAAAAAGCTGATTTATAATTAATCACCAAAATGACCTTTACTTGACCTTTTGATTTCTCCAAAACCTTTTCAAATATTAAACTAAATTTTTATCTTTATTAATCTATTTTTCAACCCTACAAATGTATATACATGTAGTTTAATGTTATTTTAATGGTCTAAATCTAACAAAACATTATCTTTTTTAATTGATTTTGAATTACAGTGGGACCTGAATGCATTGTCATATTACACACAAAATTATATTGAAATATCAAATAATTTCTTTGATTCAAGCCCCAACATGCCAGAATAATGGTTAAATATACAGTTTAAGAATAGACAAAATTAGGAGTACTTGAATTAAAAAATATAAATTAATTTTAATGCAAGTTGTGACCATTTACATTGTTTTTGAATGAAGTAGTGCCGGCCGGAGGGTCGGAGAAAGACAGCTTTTATAGTTGTTCGGATGGGACGAAAAACCAAGGTCCTGTGTATACATTGGCGTGCACGTAGAAAATCCCTTGGCACTTGGAATTCAATATAAGAAGAGAAGGCCAAAGTGCCACTGCCCGGGCAAAATTTCCCTCTTAGCACACTGCATGGTGTATGCCTGTCGTAATTAGACCAGTTGGAACAGAACAGTAGGACGTTAAACCCCATTTTATTTCATTTCCGTTTTTGATTGATTTCTCCCCACTATCTTTTACAAGTATCTTAAAAAAAATGAAGTTATAATAATCCTCCCTATTTTGTACAGATCAGCACATTCTTCAAGCATGATTTTATTTTTAATCTAAGTATGCAGAATTATCTTAGTATTTCCTTAATTACATAATAACAAAAAGTCTTTACATTAGAATAATACCTATATTTAACTTTGGAGATATGAACTATCTAGCCATGGGAGATAACTCTACTGGCACTGAAGTTGTTTGCTTCTAGCCACATATTTTTTTATTCATGTAACTGATAACATACTAACATTCCTTTTCAACTAAATTTTAAACATTCCTTTAAAACTCAATTTTAAAAGCATTAAATATTTTAAGACAGACATCCGTTGACCTACTTATAGCATTTTTATAATCTCTATAGTATACCTGTCTTTGTTATTTAACGGAACACCCGAGAAGTTTAATACAGCATATATAACAAAAGATGTATTATTAACTGACGCGGATAAAAATTAAACTTGATTATAATCTCGACAATAAAACCTCTACATGAAGATCAAATAACAACTCTCAAGCATCCTACACAACAGACATCTTATTTGTTACAATTTTTCTATTTTTGTCAAGAGTAAAATCTTGTCAGTGACTGTCATCATGAATAGTAAATTTTTCATTTCTTTATTTATGGAGGTCATGAAAAACATCTCTATTAAGAAAATATCTGTAAACAGTTCTGGTCATTTGAAATTTAAAATGGACCTGAAATACTTATTTAAAGAAATAAGGAAAGAGACATACTGGTATCGGTATCGACGGGACGTCCAAATATCCCGTAAAACATGTGACTGCTTTGTCCATTCAACTAGGATGGGTAGGAGATAGGAACTGATATAAAAAGCTTCACATCTATTTATATTAAGTAATGGTATGTTTTCTAATGGTCTAGCATTTCCAGAGCACAAAAGCATAATTTTTTTTTTTTTCTTAATTACTGAACTCTATCCGAACTCTTAACTCAAAATTCAAAACAAATTGACCAGATTAAATCACAACAAATAAATAATCAAATATATTATAATATGCCTCTTTTAATGCAGTATGAACACAAACGCATAAAACTGTATTTTTTTCCTTAATTAATGAACTCTACCCTAACACTTAATTTTTAAAATTCAAAACAAATTGACCGGATTAATTAAAACAAATAAATAATCAAAGATATTATAATATGTCTCTTCTTTCAGTGCAATATGGACATGGTAACATAAAAATTACTTGAAAAATCAAAATGTGTTCTCCAAATCTAGCAAACTTTTGTTAATGTACTTACGACATCCTGACAGTCTGTACTACAACCATTACGTATTAATATTTTACATGCTTCTAAATAACCATTTTGTGAAGAATAATGTAGCGCTGTTCTTCCTTCCTGCAATTATCATAGAATATATATACATTTTACATGTGCTTTCAGTGATGATTTAACATGACCAATTTTTTTTTTATAAAACACAGACAGGGAATTGCCCATCAACAACATACATGTAATCAATCATTCATGTAAAATCTTAATTCCCACAAATCAAGTTTTAAAATATCTATCATGAACTCTGTACTAAGCTTTAAAAGTAAATATGTGAATCTAAATAAAAATTCTATGAAATGTGTTCAAAATTCTACAATCCTATAAATTTGAATTTCAAAAGGGTTCTTCCATATGCCCATGCAATGCTTTTAATAATTCCATTGAAAACTTTGTTTTGTATCATGTTCATGAGATTTAAAACTCATGATGTGAGATAACAAATTGAATGGATCAGTGCACCTGGACGCTGGTAACGACAATAAATGTGGGTGTATAAATATAAGGGTTTAAATCCATTCAACTATGTCATTTTGGATCAGGGATAATGAAAAACTCCTAGAAAACATGGTGCTAACAACTTTATATTCCATGTCATGTGTAGCCCTGAGATCAAATACAGGACTGCATAGATGACACTTGACTGAAATAAGACATATTGTTATCTCTTTAAGTCAAGAAAAAATCAAATATTCTTTTTTTAATATTATATGGTAGTAAAATATATATAGGCCTATTTTTTTCAGGTCACCACGCATAAATTACATAGATATTAACATGCCATGTGAAATTTAACAACATATCAATTACATGCCATAAAAAAATACCTATCTGCCATCTTCATTACTAAGCATTTATATAAAATAATAAAATCAAGCATTCTATGCATTAATTGTTAATAATTTCCACTTTACAGCTTAGTATGTATCATTATATATACAGATTATCATCTATCTTATATACGTCCTACACTTAAAAATACTATAAAATCTCTTTATATTATATGAGTTTATGAAATTTAAAACTGATAAGGCAGTGTAATATATTGTTTGTATATTGAAGTGTTTTTATTAGGGGTAATATGAAACTACAACATGTATTTATTGTATGAGTAAGATAAAACATCTACGCCATTTAAAATAGTCAACAGGTAATATTTGTCTTCAAGCAACTCCTAGTTGCTGGGGAGTTATGTTGACACCACTCTTAAAATCAATTAGGCTAGTTATACGCTGTAAAGTTCATTCTATTTCGAAAGTTCGGCAAACCAAATCAAGGTGTGATAAGAGGACGCCAACAACATGGAGTAGGTCTACTTATGCATCAGGATTTGATCCAAAGCACACATTATCATAATTGCTTTAAATTTACAATAAAACGCAGGTAATCTGAAGTGTTTTTGAGAGTACATGCATTGTAACAAATGGAGAGAGAGAGAGAAATGGGGTTTAACGTTCACTCAACACAAACTAGGTCATTTCGGGGCTAAAGTATGATTTTAATTTTATTTCAATAATTCGCTTGCGCGTAGGGGTCTTTAGCAGTGGGAGGAAACCGGAGGACCCGGAGAAAACCCACGAGGTTGGACAGGCGACCCTACTCCTTGTCAGGTACAACCGGGGATTCGAAACCACGCCAGTCGACTCAATGACAGACTTTATGATACAGCGCGCGCACGCTAACCATTCAGCCATCCAACCCCCCTTGTAACAAATGGAACGCAAACATATTCTAACATATTATGTAAATGATTTTACATGCACAGTCTATGGGTATCTTTTTTTTGTCAATAGAATTAATGGTAAGTTGCACCGTGCATATCAGGGGCTGTCACTTCAAAAGTTTACAACCAAAGATTTTTTTAGACTGCTAATCATTATTTGAGAAATCTTGAATCCTTTGTAAAAGACGACATAGCGAAAATTGAATATCAGTCAAAAAATGGTTCAATTCCATTCAGTATTTAAATATATATATTGAAACTGAAACTGTTGCAACATCTGGCATCCACTGCAGACAATAAACAAGCCAGCACCACCTAGTGTTGTGCAAAAGCTTTGAGGAGCCTCTTTTTAATCTGATTGATTTAAAACTGGGTGATTATCTACCTTTGATATTTCCTTGATTAAGCCGTAATGATATAATGTCCATCTTCAGTCAGATCTGAAGACTATACCAAAATATACCACGTAATTTTTTTATTCATTTCTGAAATGGGTGTTATGATACAATAAAATCTTATCTTATCTTATCTTATCTTTCTTGCATTTAAAAAAAACGAAGAAAACCAGATAAATTTTGTAGTCAGTCAATTTCAATGTCAGCTTTTGAATGTCTAAATATCAAAACATATATACTCACTCGATCAGGTTCAAAAGTGGCACCAGCTTTTAGAAGGTTTTCTATTTCTTCTGTTTGCCCTTTACTTGCGGCCAGTCGTAACCGACCTTCTAATGATTGTAAAATAACTGGACTATGGCCATCACTCTGATTTAATACTCCTGTTGACATGGCTGTAATATACAAAATATACTTTATTTAATATAACAAGACAATTATCTATACTTCATTATTTCCATAAATTAGCATCTGGACCGATGTAAACGAGTCGATGATTGAGCATTCTGTTGGAATTGATTGGTGTCAGGTTGGTCTAGTCATGGTGACAGCATCAATATGCTATTAATGTCACATAGACCTACTGGTTTCCATCCCCCTCTAGCAACATTTGGCATTCTGACTTCATCAAGATACCAGGACTACACTTTCAAATGCCATTTATAATAAGATAGCAAATGATAACAATTCTGCAGTTAATTTTCCTAATGTATCTTCCCACACCCCCCCACACTTAAAATCATAAAAAAAATGGAAATGTTGTATTAATGAAAGAAAGTGATAAACTCCATACTTAATTCTAAAATCACTAAAGTTGAAGCACAAATTTCACCATTAAGTTAACAAAATGTGTAAATTATCATACTTTTGCAGATTTAGAAATTTGCAAGTGTTTATTTAAAAGACCATCAATATCAAACCCAAGCCATGTATACCTAACAAAACTTACAAGCCTACAAAAATGCCCTCAAAAACAACGATATCATCTACTAAACCTATTTACTTGTAAGTTTCAGATATATGCAAAAATATACAATCTTTATTCTACAAAAGAAACATGATGTCTGTATAAGTCTAGTGTCTTATTGATAATTTCCCAGCCTATGATCAACTTGTGGCTATTGTCCCAGGTTATTATCAGTTGTAAATCTATGTTAAAGAAGAACACTAGTAGAATATAGATAGAGTTGTTAGTAGTTTAATACAAGATACCAGTCTGTTCAACCATTGGTGTATATATCTTTGAAGTGGTCAGTTGACAGATCAACAATCGAGACATGAACAAATCACTTTACAAATTATCAAGATAAATCCTTCATTATTAAAATGGGTAACAAAACAGAGCTTACTTCTTCTGATCATAAGTTCATAAGATTTTGACCCTCTTTAAATCTATTCATATTCTCATAAACATACTAATGTGTCTTAAAGAGTAAGAAAAGAATCTTGTTCATCAAAATAGGTTATCATTTCTTTTCTGTGTAGAACCTGATACTATTACTTCTTAATTATTTGTATATATCCCAATACTATTACTTCTTAAATGTTTGTAGAACACAATACCATTACTTCTGAATTATTTGTATACCACGCCCCAATACTGTTACTTCTTAGAACACAATACTATTACTTCTTAGAACACAACACAATAACTTCTTAAATATTTGTAGAACACAACACTATTACCTACTTCTTAAATATTTGTAGAACACACCCCAAAATAGGCCAATACTATTACTCCTTAAATACTTGGTATGTTCACAGTGTTGTATATTGTATGGGGGAATATAATATGTAGATACTCTACTATGATAAATATTTTAAAAGATGCAATACAGTAGAAGCACAACATGCATTTTCTTGATTTAAATTTTAACAAAAATTTGTTCTGAAAAATGTTTATTGATAGAAATAAGTTATCATTCCGACCTCCATAGACCATTACAAGAAGCAAGAAATCCATAGAAAGCAATGTGAACTGTAGATGACCATGACTTACTATAAATATTACTGCTCAAATTTAATAATATTTGGACTGATATTTTTTTTGTGTGCGGTCTGGAGTCTGGACGTCTGTATTTGCCTTTTAATCGGGAATATCAGGTCTTTTAATGTATGTGTGACCATACCTATCTAATGATGCTGCTAACAATACTATATAAAATTAATCCCCATAAATCTTGTAAGTTTAAAATAATCTTTGCTTAAAGCTCACATATTGTCATGTGAATGTTTATACTTTGATATGAGTATACTCTAATTTAATGGTTTCTGGTCAACACAAGAGGTTTACTTTCAAATTCAATGAAGTGTAGAAAACAAATATTGACAAGAAAGTTCAACACATTCAAAAGCAAATGAAGCTGGAGTAGATGAATTTATTGTTATAATTTGTAAATCATAAAAAATATTCCTTTATAAATATAATACACATACATGTAATTTTATTCTGATCATAAAAATTGTACCACATAATATAGTTATCTGTTTTAAGTGAAAAATGTGCAACTACATGTGCATGGAATAAATATCTGTAAAACTTTCCCAAGCTGTTCCCTACAATATTTCCCTATTTGATTAAGTATTAATTAAATATAGGTTTCAAATATAGTTTTAAAATATACTTTAATTATTTTGCCATATAGATATGTTTTATGGAAATGTCAGTTCTTCCCTAAAATCAGTTAGAAAATAGCTCTGAATATGTAAAATGTTATTAGACATGTGAAAGTATGCCTAGTGGACTGTGTCATTCGATTCAAATAGTTATCTCCACAGGACAGTTAAGAACATGTAAGGACAACTAGTTGTGAATACAGAGAACACCCTGGGTATGTGTCACTTTACGACCAATAATGACCAACTTATTTAATAGTGGACAATAGTAGATTTTGTCTACAGTAGAATTATCTTGTATACAGATATAGAGGCGTCCTACCTTGTACCACATGTTGACCAATCGTTTATAAGATCTAAACACCATTTATTGACCTTCTCTTGGGTTCATGATTTACCAATTATATATAACAATAGCTTTACCTTTAGTTCAATATGCGGACACTATTAGTTTTCTACTGTTCATTTGTAACAAGCAAATTATTACATGATACAAGTACAAATGCCGGACATACCAATATGTATTGGAGCCACACTCAAGGTGAAAGAATAAATATCATTTTGAACTGATTAAACTACCATTCAGATCAGTTTGCCAAGTCCAGAATTTGAAATTTTTTCTATCAACCAATAACCATTTGGTGATCTACCAATAACTATATCACCTATTGTTCTGTTTTCCAATCTCAACAAAAAGCAAGAAGGAAAACTGGTTTTAAAAGAAAAAGACAGAGTTCAACAGTAATGCCGTTTCCAGTTCAAACTAGGCTTTTTTTTCCCCCCTGATTCATTGCTGATTGACTTGAGTTTCCACTAAAATGCCTAGTTCTTGAAGTATATATAACTGCAATAATGACTCAATAATCAAGACACAGTCAGTCAGTAATACAATAAGAGAATATGTCAAATTTGTAAATTGAAAATGAAATGGGGGCTAATGAAGACGGGGGTGGGGGGGACAATTTTGTCCCCATTGGAAATGCTAGTAATAACGTTGGCCTTCACCTACTTGACATGTATAAAAGGATAATTATTTAATATAGTTTATAAAAGAAAATTAAAATGAAGCCAAGCGGCTACACATTTATATATACTATTAGTAATGCTATTATTGAAAATTAAAATATATCATTATTACTGGTATATAAAAATAAATAGACGTATGTGTTCTCATGTCAAACACACACAATAAACATTCCACTGGTTAATTGAGTCTATAGAAATTGGTTGATAATGTTTTACGTCTATACTATTCAAATTCATTGACCTTGATCATAACAGTTCATGTGAGGCCCGTCGATATGATGTTCTACTGAAATAAAGTAAATTATAAAATTACGCCCAGTTCAAACGAATGAGTTTGGATCGACCCATTAGACTTTTCATACAGCAGGAATGGTTAAAATGAAGAAAAGTGTGTCTTTATGCAGAAGCTCCAGTCTGAGAATCATTATATTAAGAAAAAGCCCCAGTAGACTCAAACAATGGTTATGTTATATAATGTTGCAACAGCCTAATTAAAATTAGACCATACATTTGTTTCTTTTTCAAGTGTAACAGAACTAAAACCAGAATGAAATAAAAGATCTGCAACAGAATTAATTACATATATACTCATGAAGACAGGAATTAGATAACATTTTTACTTACTAATTAGTTAAAGAATGGGATTCCTATGTTGATATTTACATTTGGACAATACTGACATGGTATAATATTACTTATGTTTGTTACGTAATGTGCTTCTAGTAAAGTCATGACAAATTCAGTATTAAAACTATTCTTTCGAATCTGATAAACAGTGTATCTAAAACAGAACTACATTCAATAACACTTAATCCAAAATTTTGAATAGGTAAAATATATATATACACATCTTCTGAGCATATTAAAATAATAATTACCTGAAGTCTACTATCAATGACTTCAATGATACAAATCAAGGTATATAATCCATTCCATATATATAATATTCCAGTATAAAACACTATTTAACAATTTAAATATCGTCCATGTTGTTTTAATCTGATCTCTATCTTTACACCTCTAGCCATGTTTAAATATTTTATACAATATCTTATCAATCACTGTATATAATACACTGGTGTACCTCTAGGCTTGTCTTCAACAGACAGTAACAAATGACAAGAATATAAATCATTAGACCTTAAACTTACTAGCTGGACTCATGTGCTTGGTATTTTCTTAATCATTTTAAACTGGTATAATGAATTAGAGGAGAAAAAGTATCCAATGTGTTAATCATGTCATTAATTAAGTCACTAATTAAAGACATCATTGACATACAACTATAATTAAAGTCACAATATAAAGTCATTAATGTGCAGAAGTTGTTTACCCCTCATTATATTGATTGACATCTGGTCATGAAGCTGTCAGTCACTCATCTTGTTTTCTCACTAGAGAGTTAATTTTTCCTAAATCTCCCTAATAACTTTTGTTTATCTAGAAAGTTAATATAGCTGTTCATCAGTTAAGACATGTAATTGTTACAGACTGTTGTGTCATTCACATGAGTTAAAAATATATACTATAAACCAGAGACATTGTAGGTAATTTGTTTTTAAGACAGGTATATATATATATGTACGACTTACCTACCAGCAAATATGAAGTTTCCTTTGTGAGTGGTATAAGTTTTTCTCACATACACACAACATAACAAATAGCGAAATAAACAAAGAAAGAGGACTTTCCTCCAAGCAGATGGTTCTCAGGAAGTTTATTTCACATACATTTCACAAAGATAATAAAATTT